GCGGGAAGTACAGCAGATGGTCTGTCTCTCTCTCTCTCTGTCTTCAAGTCTCAAATAAATGAATTAAAGGTAAATAATAAAGCCAAATGGAAGAACGGAGCAGTCCCATTTACTCATTAGAAGACTCCCTTCTGTTGCCGTGAAGAATGTAGGGGGGCGGGGCAGAGGAGGTGGGCGTAAAGCGACACCTTACATCCTAACTTCCACTATATGACTATCTTAGTCCTGTTTCCACAATGTTCTCCATTGATTGTGGAATGTTCTAGTAAAGAATGACAACAATGAGGAGACGATGATTCAAGTTCAGGCTGTGGAATCAGGACCACTTTGTGGCAATCCCTCCGTATGCATCACTGAATGCCCACACTACCCGTATCTCTCACCTTTCTTCAGTGTAAAGAAGTTAATTCATAGCTAGCACCTTCTCCGTGTAACAAATATCAAATTCAGTTCACATCGGGCACTCAGACTTCTGACTTCTTAATGCGTGGTAGCTTTCTTCTTCATCAACAGCAACAATGAGAAAGCAGGAGGCAGGTGCGTTAGCAGGAAGCTGGATCAGAATTTGAACATCCAGGACTTGAACCACCACCCTTACATGTTATCCCACAAGGCTGTCCCCTTGGGATTGGGATTGGCCCATCCCAATCCCAAAGGAAAGGAAACCATAAAGGTGAAAGTGAAGCAGAGCCCTGAAGTCCTCTGAATGTTTTTTTAGTTGAATTCTCAAGGCCATTGGAAAATTGCATATACACATTAAGTAAGAACCTTAATTATGTTTACTTCAAGAAATTCCTTTTACTGCAAATCTTTCATTTAGAAGCTTGCAACTAAAAAGAAGCCTGGCTTAGTTGATAAATTTACCCATTTCCCTTAAAGTTTCCCTTTAATTTGCATGGATATTTTTCAGAACTAAAATTTAAATGTTATTTTTAGAGGCTGGGCAAATTAAAGGGACATTTGTGATTTTTATTTCAAAGTACAGTTATCTCTGATTGGCTTGAAAATTTCAACCTTAATTTAAAAATGGAAATATTTAATAAACAGATGACAGTTTACTTTTTTATTCTCAAACATAAAGTCAAATCTATACAGCCTAGACTGTAAGAGACCCAGCCCAGGCCGAAGCCTCCGGGCATGGAGCTGCTGCCTTACCTGGCTCCTAAACAGCCAGTAAAGTGAGCTGTGTACATCGCCCTGGCCTCAGTCCCCACCCTACCCTCACCTGCTTCCCTCTTTGCCCATTACCTCTCCTCTTGAGACCAGGCCTTTGATAAAGCGCCTGTGCCAGAATTCTCACTGCAGGCTCTGCTCCCAAGGACCCTTACAACGATGCAGCAGATGAACTAGAACAGCATTCTACCAAGAAAGCCATCAGACTCCGATGGCCGGGAACAGGTCAGGGGACACTCTGAGGATGGGCAGCTTCAAGGTGGTGGAACTGGATGAGAAAGAGGAAGGTGCTCCACTGAGTGTGGGGACAACAGTGGCCTGGCTGATCCTGGGGGGCTGACTGGAAGCACTCCTAGAGATTAGACTGGCCATTCCTAGATGTCCTGGATGAGGGCCATGCCCCTGGACTCAGCGTTGGCCAGCCTCCGATTGTTCAGGGACTCTAACTTGGAGGAGGGGAAGTCAGCTAGGGACTCAGATGTGAGCAACACAGGAAACAGCTCTAGGAGTGGGCATGGCTTCTTGGAGGTGAGCGAGGGACTGGAGAGCACATTGCAGCATATGCAACAGTCAGCAACCTTCCAGAATTGTCTATTTTTGTGATTATTTGATTTTTTTTTCTTGATTTGTGTGAAAATAGTCTTTCCCTATCTTGTTACTCTAGATCAACAACCACAAATAGCGTTTAATACAGATTCCATTGTTCTATCAATATTAAGAGTTCTAGGCACTGGAACTGGCCCAACAGACAAGAAAAAGCCTCATCTTGTCCTCATGAACGCATGATATGAGAACAGAAATGTGGTACTTTTTTTGGATGTGAGGAGGCAGGAGATGAACTTGCATTTTGGATTAATCAGAAATTGGGGATCAAGTTAAAGCTACCACCAGCAGCCCTGAGGCCACCCACCTTCCTGGCTCAACCTCGCATACTCTCTGTCTTAGACTGTGATTACACTCGAAGGGATATACCAAGGGATATAGAAAACTCTGCTCGTTTTCCACAAAGGTGAGAAGATCAGTATTTGATCGTCATAGTCTGACATCAAAAACTTCAACAGAATCAAAACTATCTGACGTAGGTAGAGTTGTGCCTATAACCCTTGAGTGGATTGCTCCTAGAGAAATGAGGGCAACTGGAGTGGCTCTACCCTGTGGACTTCCTCCCTCTGGTGTGTGATGATGGCCTGGCTCCAGCTCACCTGCGAGCCTACAGCAGGAAATATATAAATGGGATGGATGTTTCAGTATGAAAAAAACCAGTCCTCCAAATCTGCTCCAAAGACGTTTAGGTTTGTTAGAGTTTCTCATTAGAAAAGTGCTGTGCTTGAACAGGTGCACTGGCGCTTCTTGACGCTTTCCTTGGCTTAGATGTATTTTAAATGTTGCAATCTATGAAAAAGTTGATCATTTCTCTGTTTCATGAGTAAGGCTGTCTGTGTGACCATTTAATTGTGTTGTCCATGTTTTCCTCAGACATACTTTTTATTAATGCTCTTTAGGGAACAACCCAAGAGAGGTAGACAGAAAATCTTTCACTGTAGAAATGACTTTCCTAAATTTTTTTTTCTTAGAAGTAGTGGCAAATTTAACTAGAGATATCCAGAGAGAGAGAGAGAATCTATGGCTGTTCTAGATGCATCTTAAAGCCTCCTGACAAATTCATTCTTTCATCTCTAATACTTCATCACAAGACATCCTGTGATTATGTGAATTAAGATGTGTATATAATGGCTGGCACCAGCCTCAATGCCAAACAAGAAGTCACCCAAGTTCTTGTTGTCTTTGAGGCCAAGTGCTGCCCTGCTGTATTGAGAGAGGCAGAGTGTAAACAAGCAGCACCACAAGTGGGGTGCTATGAGGGGGCCACAAAAACAGGTCGTTAGCCCGATAGTTAACATCAGTTAGGACACTGACATCCCACATCAGGGAGATTTCCAGGATTCGATTTTCAGTTGCAGCTCCCAACTCCAGCTCCTTGCTGAAGGAGACACAGGTAACCTCAAGTAACTGAGTTTCTACCAACCATTGGGGAGCTCTGGTTTGAATTTCTAGCTCCAAGTTCAGCCCAATCAGTCTCAGCCATTGAGTCATCTTTGGCTGACTCCCATTGCATTAGCAGGGAGCTGGATAGGAAGGAGAGCAGCTACGACTAGAACGGTGCTCAGCCAGATTTGTGATGCTGGTGTTTACAACTGTAGCTTAACGTGCTGCCTGAAAGCACTAGCCCACTTAACTTCCTTTTGAAATCGCTGGACATGGGCCTGGATCAGGGCTCAGTAGCTAAATCCTTGCCTTCAATGCACCCAGGATCCCATATGGGCACCAGTTAGTGTCTCAGCTGCTCCACTGCCCATCCAGCTCCCTGCTTGTGGCTTGGGAAAGCAGTGGAAGATGGCCTGAAGCCTTGGGACCCTGCACCTGCACAAGAGACTTGGAAGAGGCTCCTGGATTTGGATCAGCTAAGCCACAGCTGTTGCAACCACTTGAGGAGTGAATCAGCAGACTGATCTTTCTCTCTGTCTCTCCTTCTCTCTGTAAACCTTCCTTCTCAATAGAATACATAAATGTTTGGAAGGAAGGAAGGAAGGAAGGAAGGAGGGAGGGAAGGAAGGAAGGAAGGAAGGAAGGAAGGAAGGAAGGAAGGAAGGAAGGAAGGAAGGAAGGAAGGAAGATAGATCGCTGGACATGCCCTGCAGTCCAAGGTCATCTCCAGTGCATCGGCCTGTGCTGCTGGCAGGGAGAAGGAAGGACTAGAACTTTCTGTTTGATCCTGATCCTCAGCCGTGACCTGCATCCATGCACTGCTTTAGTTCTCCCAAATTTGCAGCACAATTCCACTGTCACAGGTTGAAGTTCGGGACCCAGACTCACTGAGTCAAGGTGAATTTCATTTACCTTTCTAGCACAATGGGGCTGTTTCGTTATCCTTACCTTGCAGTATGTTCTGTGTGATGCTGGCTTTGGTATAGCACTTTTGGTTGCGATGTTTTTTTCTGGTCCCTGTTTCTACCACCATGCTTTCACCAGTTCATTCACTCTTTCAACAGATGTACACAAAGCTTTTGGCAACAGTGGCAGCAGCCACCTACTGAGGTCTCTTTATCAGATTTTTAAATACCCTCATTCGTGGCATTCTTTAGATTCAGAATGCTTTTATGTAACACATTTCAATTACTTCATCTTGCTCAGGAATCAGTATCCTCCTTCTAGTGTGTCCTCAATTACAGAAACCTCTTGGCAATTACTTTCTCAATCATCATGCATCCTGTACTTCTTTCCGTTTAACATCTATTTACTTAGTGAGTTGAGTTTTCTGGTTAAGAGAGAGAGTGGGAGGGAGGGAGAGTTTCAGGGGCTATTTGCGCCCCAGTTGCCTCCAACTGCAGGGCTGAAACCAGGAGCCAGGACCTCAAGTCAAGTGACTTCCCACATGAGTGGCAGGAACCCCAGCTAATTGAGCAATCTCCTGCTGTCCCACAGGGTACACATTAGCAGGGTTAGGGTTAGGTTGTGAACTTAGCTGCAGTAAATGTGAGACACAAGCAGTCCTTTCATGTGCTCATTTTGATTTCCTTTGGGTGGATTCCCAGGAATGGGATGGCTGGGTGAGCTATACATCCATCTCAGATCTCTGAGGAATCTCCATACTGTCTTCTACAAAGGTTGTACTGGTTTACACGTCCAACAACCATGCATTAGGGTACCTTTGGCGGGAGGCGGGGAGGTGAGAGATTTGCTTCGTCTTATCATCAATCAGTATTGACAAATGGTTCTCTCTCTCCCACGCTTCCTTTCTGTCTCCCCCATCCTGGCCCCTTTAGCAGATGGCTCGAGAGCAGTACCTGACAGCTGCAGAAGGCATTCACATAGAAAGGCCAGAGAACCAGCACGTCTACAAAATCGGCATCTATGGCTGGAGGAAACGTTGCCTCTACCTGTTCGTTCTTCTTTTACTCATCATCCTCGTTGTCAATCTTGCTCTTACGATTTGGATCCTTAAGGTGATGTGGTTTTCTCCAGTAAGTATGATCTTTTTCTCAGTAAATACGTTCTTCGGTCTTTGTTTGCTACGTCACCCATCTGGATTGTACAGATCGAAGTTTCCTTCGGTGCTGTTTCTTTTCTGTATGGAACAAAAATTTTTGGTAGCAAAATGTGCATATGACATTTTTTCCCTCACTATGAACTGTAGTTTACTGATTTGTCTTTTTTTTTTTTTTACTTTAATTTTTGCATGATGGGAAAACTTCAGTCTCAAGAGCGTGGTGGATAAAATTTAAAATTTAATTCCTCACTTGTAAAAATGTATAAACCACCTGTTTTTCTAATTGGCTAATTCACAGACATTTTCTGTTTAAATGCCACTCTCCTGTGTTTATACAGTCCATTCTGGTATGCACTGTTTCATGAGCTCTCAACAAAATTCAATAATAGATTTGTTAAATAAAATGCCAGCAGTGTTAAGAAATCAATATACTGTTTTAAATATCTTCATATTTTAGAATGTCTCAAGTACTTTTGGAGGAAAAATACTCATTTAATGTCTTAACTTTATCAAAGAGCCATAAATAGAGTAAAAAAGAAGCCCAACAATATCACAGAGCAGTCTCTTCCTTATGCTCAAGAGGCCACAGCTTCTCCTAAGAACAGCACTTGCACTTGAACCTGCAATGCTATTCCATGTGTTACTTAAGACCAAATTATTCCTGCATTGCCATAGTTCTAGCCAGGAGACATATTCTTTTGTTGACATAGTAAGTGGTTTTTTGTTTGTTTGTTTGTTTGGTTTTTTTGTCTTTGCATAGGAAAAGAAGTAAAATATCCGAGCCAAAGTGGTGTCAGGCTGGTCAAGCCAGTGCCTGGGACACCAGTATACCCAATGGATACAGGAGCTTGTCGTCTTGAAACTGTACCCCTGGAAAGCTTAAAATGTGTTATATTGATAAAAGAAAAAAATCTTTAAAAGTCCCAGCTGTTCCACTTCCAGTCCAGCTCCTGTTACTGTGCCTGGAATGTGGAGGCAGATGACCCAGGAAGAAGCTCCACGTGCTTGGCTGCCTGCCACCTGTGGTTCAGCGCTCGAGTCCCGAGCCCCTCCAGCTTTGGTCTATTCCAGCCCTAGCTATTGCACCCACGTGAAGAGGAATACAGAGAGAAAGGCCCTCTCTATAACTCTGTCTTTCAAATAAATAAGTAAATATTTAAAAACAAAAGGATAAACTGTCAAATAAAAGTACAGTTGCGATGTCTATTATAAACTGTTAATAAAAAGTTAATATAAATGCCATGTAAATATGTAGTGCAATATGAATTGTTGCTATGTAATATATATAAAGATTCATAAATAGATTTGAAATAGTGAACAATAAGATTTTGTTTCTTGATTAAAATAAATAACAGCTGTTTTTCTTTTTTAAAATCATATTTGTTCATTTGGAAGGCGGTGTTACACAGAGAGGGATTGTCCCTCTACGGTTCGCTCCATAAATGGCCACAGTGGCCAGGGCTGGGCCAGGCCGAAGGCAGGAGTCAGGAGCTGCTTTGCAGTCTCCCACAAGAGCGTGGACCATCACCTGCTGCGTCCAAGCACGCTAGCAGAGAGCTGTGACCCAAGAGGTGCAGTCAGATCCTGAACAGGCACCCCTGTGAGATGCGGGACTGCAGATGGTGGCCCCTCCGCTGCCAGCACCCTAACAACAGCATTTCTGTGACCTCACGATAGCATTTAGTCCTACGCGACAGAAACAGCACAATATACAGGATGCAAGTTTTTGTACATCATATGGACTTTAACAGGTGCACTGAAGGACTTCTCGGATTACCCTTTAGAGACTGAATCAAGGTTGACCCTTCTCATTGAAGTGTAGGGATGCTCTGGGCTGATTATCCCGCCTTTGCAAATAGTTTATTGTGAACACCATGTTTATTTTGGAAAGCAGGAAGTTCCACAGGAAGTGGCGTGCATCTCTCTAAGGGATTATGTTATGTTTCCTGATTTTCACAGCTCTGTTCCATGTGCTGCTAAATGGGCATCCTGGCTGATAACCACATAGTGGGCTCTCAATAACTGTCAGAAATTCAATCGTTTTCCTGAGATTACATAGCCAGAAAATGACAGGATTTCTGTCCACTCTGTTTTATTTGAAATCATCCCCTTTTCCACTTAATCACGTTGCCTGAGATATCAGAAAAGGTAACAAGAATTAGTTGGGCGCTGACCAGTGTCTGTTAACATGACAAATAAGCATGGCTTGTTTGCCATGAACCAGAAGTCCACCACATCCCCACTGAAGATAAGGACATGTTTGATATCGCTGATATAATTTAGCATTGCCTGAAAGTTTGCCAAAACCCAGAAAAGTAAATAAGAAGTAGAAGTACTTATATATAGCAATGATCAAAAAAAAATCTTTGCATACAATTTTAATGTTATCTAAAATTCAGAATTACAAGAACAGCTACTAAAAGTTTGCAATATGAGAACTGATAAAGAAGGCATACAAATGAGTGTTCATAACACAGCTAGATTTTGTTTCTACCTAATTAGAAAATGTGTTCTTAAGAAAAATCATGTTTAAAAGCAAGTACAACCTCATAAGAACTTTTCCGTTTGGAGAGATCTGCTTCTGCAGTGTTACTAAAATAAATTCTGAATAAGACATGGAAAGACTCGCTACTCTTTGGTGTTTCAAAGTTAGATATACCCTCCGTAGAAGGCCTCAGAACATTCTGTGAAACTAGAACAATCCCAAACTCAAGACACATAACTACTGAAAAGACCAGTGAAACATAAGAAATTTCACGAAAAATCAGTGGAAATAAAAACACATGAATTATAATTTTTTACATTGCAAATGTTTTACTTCATTAAACTGAATTTAAGTAAACCTAAAACACTAAATTCTTTACCTTACTTATTAAATTAAGAATTATAAAGACAATGGGTCAAAATTAAAATCTGTTTGCTGGTAAAGGTTATAAACTCAAACTATAAAAATTAGGAATCATTATTAGATCTTGATCTATATGTTTGCATTCAGTATTTTATTTAGCCTAGTTCACTTTAGGCATTTGTAAATTACACCTCAATGTGTCTGACTTTTTTTTTTTAAAGCTGAACAAAAGTGTCTCTTTTTTCAAGACTTGTGAGTTCATTTTTTCAGGATATTATAAATTCATTTCATTGAATTCATAGAATATAATGAAAGGTACCTAAGTTATCTTGTATGTTCTCTCATATTTTTTTTTCAAATAAAACAACCACTAGACTGCAGTGCCAATTAGCTTTGGCAATCTGATTATGAAAATCAGCTACTTCAGAGGCTAAGGTTAGCATTATATTTTCTGATATAAAGTTCAGAAAACTGTTGGCATTTATTTACTGGAACCCAGAAATCCAGCAGCAAATTATGGATGAGAATTTACAATCTTGAAATTTACTTTGATTAACTCTAGGACAAAAAAAAATTCATAAACATTGGTTTGCCAATGCACAGTTTGGATTCTGTAAGCTTTCAGATGCTAATCATTAAGCTTTTTGGGCTGTGTGCTTGGTCTGCAGACTCAGCCATCCCTCCGAACCACCAAGCTAGAAAAAAAGACTCCAAGTTGCTCCTGTGCGTAGGCGGGATGGCCATGCCCACAGCAGTAGTTTCCACTCTTGGGAGGAATGCATCGCTGGGCCGGGATAGGAAACCATGCAGAATAACGAAACCTTTAATTGGGTCTTACTAACGTGGCTTGATAATAGAATCCCTGAAAATTCTCCCCAAGCTAAGAGGTGCTTCTGTTCAGTCATGCATCCCTGCCCCATCCATGTTTAAAGTGCGCCTTAATATCTTTGCTTCATTCATTCTCCACACAGTTCTGCTTTCCTTGAGGAGGGAGGGGAACGAATAACAAAAAAGCTCTGTTGTGTTCTCTCTTGAAATAGACAGGAATGGGTCACTTGCGTGTTACAGAAGATGGACTCCGCCTGGAAGGGGAATCAGAATTTTTATTCCCATTATATGCCAAAGAAATACGCTCCAGAGTGGTAAGAAAATAGAAAATTTAGATGTTTCAGTAAAATTATTAAATAACTGGTGCTTTATGAAAATAGTGATTAAGAACAAAAATTGTATTTCAGAGACCATTCTGTGACTGTACTCATAGACCCACATTTATTATATATGTTCTTTTTTTAAGATTTATTTTATTTGTATTGGAAAAGCAGGATTACAGAGAGAAGGAGAGATAGAGAAAAATCTTCCATGTGCTGGTTCACTTCCCAAATGGCCACCAACAACCAGAGCTGAGCTAAACTGAAGCCAAGATCCAGGAGCTTCTTCTGGGTCTCCCACGCAAGTGCAGGGACCATCCTCCACTACTTTTCCAGGCCATAATCAGGAAGCTGAATGGGAAGTGGAGGAGCTGGGACACGAACCAGTGCCCTAACAGGATCCTGGAACATGTACAGCCGAGATTTAGCCAGTTGAGCCATCACACCAGCCCCATCTTCGGCTTTTTATAAAAAGCCCAAATATTAGGTTGGAAAGCTTTTCCATAATATTGCATTTGAAATACTTTTTCACCTGTGCTTCAAATCTGAATTTGACGGCCTCAGTAATCTAAGACATAATAAACTCCAACTTTTAGAAATGAAGATATTGATCAACACCAGTTTAAACTGTTCTCCATATGTGTAACTCAAGTAGATTTACACCAGAACATTCAAAATGATCTAAGAAGCTTTAAAAAAAAATTTTCACAAGCATAGCTTCAGCATTAATTAAACTAATTACAGATTACAGTCCAACTATTGGATTCCCAATAACTATAACTAAACACCATAAACTGATAGTGGATCTTTTAAATCAAGACCTTCATTTACCTCCACTGAGTTCATGAAAAGGCAAGCTAGGAGCAAATCCAAAGATATCTCAAGGAGTTCATGGGCAAAAGGAGTTCAAAGAAACAATTGCACACTCTTCATTTTCCTTGCACATCTCTGACTATGCCAAGACATTTCAGCATCTCTCACCTTCAGAGACTGTACCTCCAGTGAGGGAATTAGAAAGAAAACAGAAATATTGCTAGTGGATAAAATCTGGTTTTGCTAAACTAAGCATCAGAATAGTCACTGACTCTTCCTGGAACTCACACAAGCACTGGCCACAAAGGAAAGCTCTCTATGTGCAGGTGGCCATAGAGCTCTCAGTGTGTGCCACGTGTACAGGTGGCCATAGGTACTTTATGTTGTTGCTAGGAATACCTTACTGGCTGCAGGGACAAGCAGGGACAGGCAGGTGACCCAGGATATTCTAGACTGACAGGTGGGTGAGCCCGATGGCAGTGAGTTTATTCAGGTCAGACACATTGGCCAGGATAGCATCTTAGTAACCCTGTCTGGCAGGAGCACAGGGGGTCGGGGGTGCGGGTAATGCAAGGGCTGGTCGATAAGGAAATCGAACTTGAACAAATGATCCGACTCTTAGAATTTAGCTTTTTTCCTTCCAGCACTGAGTTGTTTGGTCACTGGGAAATGATTTAGAAAAATCAGACTGATCAGAAATGAGTTAACTACATCAGAGCAAATTTAACATTCTGAAGTTGATAATAACTTTCAGTTATATTTTATCAGATTTTTCCATCTCCAATATGTCTTACTTTTTAAAAAAAAAAAAGGAGAGAAAACAACATGCAAAATATTTTAGATAATCATATATTAAAGTCTCACCATGCGGGATTGATGGGTACGCCAATCAATACATGCAATTATCTAACAAGGAGAACACTGTGTTAACCAAACTGAACATTATTGCTTCTAATCTGTCTTTCCAGCAACAGCAGTCCTAGAACAAAGCTATGGCTCACAGTTTTTTGTATGCACTGAGATTTACCAATTTCCTTAGTAAAGATCAGCCTAGGTAGCGATTTTTTATAAAAATTACCAAAAAAAAGTAATTTACACCATTGCAAAATTTGACAATTCCTGTATCAATATTGCTTGTCTGAGAAAACAGACAATATTCTGGCCTCTAAAATCTGATTATTCAAAAATTGTAAAGGGAAACTGGCACCAGCAGTGTCCAAGGTTAGCCCTCTGTCTGTCGCACCAGCATTCCATATGGGCGCCGGTTCATGTCCCAGATGCTCCATTTCCAATCCAGTTCCCTGCTTACAGCCTGGGGAAGCAGGGGAGAATGGCCCAAAGCCTTGTGACCATGCACTCACTCATGTGGGAAACCCAGAGGAAGCCCCCAGTGCTGGCTTTGAGCCGGCTTAGTTCCGCCCACTGCAACCATTTGGGAAGTGAATCAGTGGATGGATTCACTCCATCTCTCTCTGTCGCTCTCTCTTGTAAAATCTGCCTTCCAAATAAAAATAAATATTTTTTAAATAGTAAAAGTAGTCAGTCATAAAGGAGGTTTTTTGCTCAATTCATGCTATTAACTCCTCCACCCTGCCCCCATTAACCCAAGAATGTGGTCATTATCACTGATACAAAAGAAGGCTTCACAAGCTGTTTCTCATCTTGCAGCCAAAAGGGCCTCAGATTCAGGCTTTTCAAATATTGAAATATTTGCATCTACATAATGAGATATCTTAGGGAAGTGATCCACATTTAAACATGAAATGTAGCTACGTTTCATATTCACTTTATACCCATAGTCAAAGGTGATTTGATATGATGTTTTGTGCACCTGTGCTTCAACTGCAGTCTGTCACCTAAGGTCAGGTGTGTGAGGTCAGTGACCAAATAGTTGCAGTTTGGGGAACATTAAAGATTTTGGACTTTGGATTTAAGATGCTCAACGTGTTTTCTATCACTGCGATTACAAATGAAATGCAACAAAAATTCAAAAAATTGAAAGCTTTAATTGTGAAGTCCATGGCCTTGAACTGATGCCAGGGTAACTTAAAGTCGGACTCCATGGAGTCACAGAGAAATGGTGAGAAGCCTTTGGGTTTTGACAGTAAGAGTCATATTTCTTATAGAACAGCTCATTCTTCTCTAATGTATCTTTTTGAAATATGTACATATTTCAACTGTATGTACATATTTCAGCTGAAAGCAGAATTTTATTTTCTGGGAAAAGAATACTGATTAAAGCGTGTTTTAGTTCTTTATCTTGAAAATAGACTCATTCCATTATAACCAATACACAAAATCAGTGTAAACCCATTGGATTGTTATATCTTATGAAAAAATTGATGCAATTGCTTTCCTGCCCTAGCTCAGAATTTTTCAATAATGTTAGCCACAAACGTTGTTGAATCCTAGGGCTTGTGACTTTAGAGAAATTATCTCATGTAAACCCTACGTGTATGCAAAATGTGTTCATTCCTAACAGCATTTCTTTTGCTGATCCTATAAATCCCTCTGTAGGATTCATCTCTGCTGCTACAGTCAACGCAGAACGTAACAGTAAATGCTCGCAACTCGGAAGGGGAGGTCACGGGCAGGCTGACGGTGGGTGAGTCAAAGTCACAGACGTTTGCACGAACATGGTCTATGCACGAGGCAAATGGGAATGCTCTTTTCTCAAGAACTCATAACTATTTATCAACCATTATGATATGAATGTTCTCAATGTTGTGCTATACCGACCATGGAAAATAGCACCGCAGCGTGGTATGGAAGAGGATTTGGAGCTCCTGGTATATTTTAACTAGTTATTTCAATTCCAAAAATTATGAGGAAACTTGCAAGATGAATTGCATGAAAAAACCCAGTAATTAATTACAAGGTAAAAATATACACTATTTATATATATATACACATATATATATATTATTATTTCTAAATGTTTATTTTCATGATATGGTTCCATAGGCACAGGGATTCTCCCCTCCATGCTGCCCATTCCCTTCCATGACTGTTTTTATTACAGTACTATATATTTTTTTAAGATTTATATGTTTGACAGCAGAGCAATAGAGAGAGGGAGAAACACACACACACACACACACACACACACACACACACACACAGATCTTGCACCCTTTGATTTGGGTTTACTTCCCAAATATCTGAAACAGCTAATTCTGGGCCAGGCAAAAATCAGGAGCCAGGATCTTCTTCCTGGAATACCACAGTGGTGTTGAGGATCCAAGCACTTTGGGCTACCATCTGCTAGCTCATCACACATTTATCATTAGGAAGTTGGATCCAAAGTGGAGCAGCGAGGGCCTGACCCATATGTGGGACACCAGCATCACAAACAGTGGCTTTAACTCTCTACACCACGGCATTAGTCACAAGCACAAAGGAAATGTGTGCAATCTGTCATATTGCACATGACTGATTAGTGGCAGGGCGAGAAATGAAAGCGTGCCTTTCTGACTCAGCTGAATTTCTGGCAATCCATAAAGCCACACTGAAGTCATAATAACCCGTGTCAAAGAACTTTCACAATACTTTTCTGTACTTACAAAATTACATTATCATCCTGCGAAAGACATTTTTCCTATCAGTAGAGTACAGACAACCCTTGTTCTGTCTGACTCTGAGAGGCACAAATTTTAGTTATCATGATTTAGTTAAATCAATCAGTCCTCCAAAAATGCGCTTCGGCTTCCCATGACCACAGTCTGTTAACTCTGAGCACGTGCATCAAAGTACAAACATGTCTGCTAGAGGCACACCCTCCCTGTGGTCAATGCCAACACGTCATTCCTCATTATAAGCTCATCAGATTCAAGACCCCTAGGTAACTGATATCACCATTGAGCCCATTTCTCTCTGTAAAATCCGCCTTTCAAACAAAAATACGTCTTTATTTTTTTTAAAAGTTTGAAATAAGCAAAACCAGCAAACCGTTAGCTAAACAAAGAACTAGAGAGAAGGTTTAAAAAATTAAATCAATGGTGAACCTCAATAGTAGAGAAATAAAAGAATTATTAGAGATAATTATGAACTGACATATGGCAATAAATCTGGTAATCCAGAAGGAAAAGACAAATTCCTGAGTTTAAAAGTATGAATAATTATTTTTTAATTAATTGTTTTAATTAACAGGAATTAAGAATTTCTAAACGCACCAACAATGAGTAGCAAGATTGAGATTTTAATCAGTAATTAAAAGCTTTCCATCAACAAAAGACTTGGGAGCAGATGACGTGTTTGTTGAATTATATGAAACATCAAGCACTAACATAAATGCTTCTTTTTTTAAAAGATTTATTTATTTTTATTGCAAAGTCAGATATATAGAGAGATAAGGAGAGACAGAGAGGAAGATCTTCCATCCGATGATTCACTCCCCAAGTGAGCGCAATGGCCAGAGCTGTGCCAATCCGGAACCAGGAGCCAGGAACTTCCTCCAGGTCTCCCACGTGGGTGCAAGGTCCCAAGGCTTTGTTCGTCCTCCACTGCTTTCCCAGGCCACAAGCAGGGAGCTGGATGGAAAGTGGAGCTGCCAGGATTAGAACCTACGCCCATATGGGATCCCAATGTGTTCTAGCAGAGTACTTTAGCTGCTAGGCCACCATGCTGGGTCCAATGCTTTTTAAATTGTTCCAAAAACAGAAGGGGAGCAATTTTTCCAAATTCAGTAAAAAAAAAAAAAGAAAACTGCATTAGTTTGATATCAAAACCAGATAAGGACATAACAAGGAAAAAGAATTACAAGTCGCTATCCTCAAATCCCTTAAATACTAGCAAACCAAATTCAATCACACATTAAAAAGATGCTTGAAGTCGAGGACAGCCCAAGACTTTGGGACCCTGCACCCAAGTGGGAGACCCGGAAGAGGCTCCTGGCTTCGGATCGGCATAGCATCGGTCATTGCGCTCACTTGGGGAGTGAATCATCAGACGGAAGATCTTCCTCTCTCTCTCTCCTCTCTGTATATCCGCCTTTCCAATAAAAAAAATAATAAAAATAAATCTTAAAAAAAAAAAAGATACTTGAGCGTGTCAAGTGGGATTCATCCCAAGGATGCAGGGATAATTTAACATGTGCAAAACTGTAGCTGTTTATGCGTTTTCATCTTGGTGTGTTTGCAATGTCAGATCTGAACAAAGAGGCACTGTCGGGGAATGGTGACTTGCTGTCACCCTGCCCCTCAGTCTTCCCCTTCCTAAGCTCTTGCTCCTTCATCCCCTGTCAGTAACTGGCTTCTTGAGTTTTGGCTTCATTCTTCTGCTATTCCCTTTGTTAATGAGCAGATATCTGCTATTTCCCAAGTTCCCTTCCTATTTACTTAATGGGGAGTTTCGACAGCTATTCATTTGCAATTTTTTTTAACTTAGTAACATGTCTTGCAAATTACTGCATATCACTTCATAGATGGCATGCTTCTTTACCACTGAGAACGGTACTCCATTTTTTGGAGCTTGTTTCTCAACCATCTGCCTGTTTACATGGGCATTTAGCTATTTCTCGATATTTTTCAATTATTAATATTTGCAAAGAATAGCCGTTACATGTACATTTTGCTTTGTTTAAGATAGGTGTCCAGGGTCGATGTCTAACATCGGGTTTGTTCTTACGTTGCTACGGATTTTTGTCAATTTTTGCCTGTTAGAAGGTTGTATCTATTCGATTCCCACCATTATTGTCTTTCCTGACAGCTTCACCAGCCGCAGAATGTGTTGGCTTGTGTTTCTAAATTATTTCCAGTCTGACTGATGAGGAATGATATATTAGTCAGCTCTTCTAATGAAACAAAGGACACACACTGTTTATAAAGGAAAGAGGATTATTTCGGTGCCCAGCTTGGAAACACACATCCCAAGATCAGATAGATATGTTGGTCTGGCATCTGGTGGTGGCATTTTTGCTGCCGGAGCCCCCGGTAGCACTGAGCATCCGATGGCAAGAGGGAATATGTTTCTGTCTGATAGCCACATCAGCAACCCAATCCAAAATCACGTCTTCTCAAAGGTCCCACCCTAAACTCCACAGCGGGATCAAGTTTCCACCCTCTTAGTGCCATGACCCGAGTTCTTTGGAGACCAAGCATCTAACAAGTGGAGCTTTCGAGGGCGCCCAAATATCCAAGCATCAAAAACGGCATCCCTGTGTCAAATTTCATCTCTCTGATTTTGCTAAGTTTAAAGATCTCTCGTGTGCATGGGTTTCAAAAAATTTGCACCAAAGCACAAGTTTTCTAATTCTGTTTTGCACAAGCCTTTAAGGTAGCTAGTAATTTTTCGCAGGTTGGAGGGCCATTTTGACAGCTGTTGATGAATGATCTGCACACGACTCCATCCACACGCATTTTTCCATTGCATTTCTCATGTTTCGTTCCTCAGTCGTCCTGGATCTTTCATACTTATAAAGGAGCTCAGCACCTTGCCTTGTGTGTGTGCTGTTAGTATTTACATACACTTTTTTCAATTATTACCTAACTTTATCTTGCGTTTTAATCAACTAACATTTGAATTTTTTTATAGTCAAATTCGCAACCTCATTGCCTCTGGATTCTGAATAATGGTTTGAAAGATTTTCCCTGCGCCAAGATTAAAAGGGACAAAATCCATGTTTACACTTCAGATGTCTGCATGGTTTCATTTTGTAAAAAACCTAGCTCCTTGACCAGTGAGAAGTTGATTCTTCTGTGGAGTGAGATGCAAATTTAGTTTTTTCTTTTCCAAAGGTTACCCACCTGTCACAAATCCATTTATTGAAAATTCCAACTTTACATCCAGTAACTTGAGGTGCTGTCATCATCATATATTAGGTAATCTTTTAAAAATTGTGGGAAATGAAATGAGAAGATTTATTTTGATGTGAACACTTTTTGACATATGTGAATACTTTTTTGTAATATGTATTTTCTTTGAATTTATGAAAGATCTTTCAAGTGCATGGGTTTCAAAAAATTTGTACCAAAGCACAAGTTTTTTTTTTTTAATTCTATTTTTCTCCATCCTTTAAGGTAGCTAGTAATTTTTTCAAATTTGTAGTCCATGGCCTTTTGAGATGTCTTTGGATATGTATTTGGGTCTAGTTATGGAGATATTGGTTATTGTGTGTTAATTTTACATGCTGACACTTGCAGAATTTTTCATTGATCATTTTTGTCAGCCTCTGGGTTTTGCAGGTATCCTATTTGCACTTACCAACAGACACTTCTTCCCCCAAACAAAAGCCTCTAATTGATGCTATGCTATTAGCTGCAATAATACACCTAATACCACATTTATAGCAGTAGTTGTAGTAGATATTCCCAGTCTCAGTGGAAATGTTGTTAATCTTACTGAACAAAATAAAATATTTTTTCTTAGGGTTAAAGTACATATATTTTTGCCATGTTAAGAAAATATGTTTTCATGTGTGTTTCCTAGAACTTTCTGTCATAAATTTCTATTGAATTTTGCCAAGGATTTTTCAGCATCAATAAAGATAAATAGGCTTAGTTTTAATTAAAATTATTAACTTGACAATGATTTTGGCACAACAGGAAGCTTGTCATCCTATAAAACCAATCTTGCATTCCTAGATTAAATCCCAATCATGATATATTACTTTGTTACCTTGATGCTGGATTCTAATTCCTTTGGCTGTTCCCATTTAGAATTTCCAGTTTTGTTTGCTTAGGTATCAATGTTAACCTTGTCGTTCAAAGCACCCCCAACACTCTTGAAATAGTTAGATAGCATTGAGACCGGCCAGTCTGTGACGATGTGTTGGAAATCTCATGTGATGTCATCTGTGCTGGTGCTGGGGTAACTTTCAAACACGTCTCTCCTCTTCTCCAATGAACACACGAGTGTGTTCAGAGCTGCTCTGTTTCCCAGTGGCGCGATCTAGCGCACGTGCGATTTCACATTTGTTTCCGTAGGAATGTACTCACTGGTCTCTTTCTAATCTCTGTCATTTCTTATTCTGTGTGCCTGGGCATTCTCGTGGATCATCAGCTTAGCACGCGGCTTATCTATTTTGCTGATTTTCTCAAAATCATAAAATCCTATTTATTAGATCCACTCTTTCATATCACTCTCTTACCCAGTAATTTTTACTTTTAGCTTTATTATTTCCCTTCTTGAGTTTTCTTTTCTCTCTAGAGTTCACTTTCTAGCTTTTTTGAATTAAGAATTCGGTTCGTAATTTAATTCACAATGAATTTCATTCTTGTTGCTGTCATCCATGCACACCGAAGATTCTGAAATAGGATTCCAATGTTCTGTTTGTATTTGATCTAGTAGTTATTTAATCGTTGTTTGTGACTAGGCCACGTGTCATTTCATGTGATTGTACAGTTTCTATTTCTGTAGACTCAAGTTCAGTGTATGTCAGTGAGACCTGCTCTCGTCCTCTGCTTTTACAGCTTCTCCCTCCTGACTATTTTTCTCGCCCTCTTGATGTTTCTTGTACTAACAGAGGTTTACTAAATCTTGTGTGATCAATGTGTTCTGTTCACGTATCCTCTCAGCTTTACTTTTTGTTTCACTGACACAGTTGCTTAAAATTTGGAAGCTAAAATGATTTCTGTGTGACTTATGGAATAGTGAACTAAGCTGCTGCTTGCGTCCCATAATGAAGTTCCACTTTCAACCTGGGCTACCCGGCTTCCGACTCAGCTCCCTGCTACCGCAGCTGGAAAGGCAGCAGAGGACGTGGGAAACCAGAATAGAGTTCAAAGCTCTTGGCTTTGACTTGGCTTTACAGGCGCTTGGGGAGTGAGCCAACCAATGGAAGACTCTCCTCATCTCTCTGTCTAGCTATCCGTCATCTATCTCGGTGTCCCTTCCGTGTAGTAAGAGGGAAAGAGCTCTTGTAAGCGTAATGGCTGGGCAGAAATTCAGGATGTGCTACACCTTCTGCTGATCTGTTACCCTGGAAGCAAGCCTTCTGATGAGCAGTCTTTTACGAATCTCACATTTCAGAATGCAGAATCCCCTGGAGGTAAATAATGCAATGAAACCAAGTTAAATGATGAGCAAAAGAAACACACTATTTTGGCAAATTTCCATACATATATTTGTCTTCATACATATATTTGCTTTAGATGAGCATATTGTTTGATACAACCCCTTTTAGGCTTAGGCTTAAAAATCAATAAAACTATTGGTAAGAAAATACTAAACATCTAGCTATTGGGTGTTCCCAGGTGACAGGGCATGTATACAAATGGAGGTTTCAGCACTAGTCATGATAAAACACTTTATGAGAAACTGCTCTCGTTGATTCTTCAGGTCCCAAGATGGTAGAAGTTCAGAGTCAGCAGTTTGAGATCAACTCCAAAGAGGACAAGCCCCTGTTTACTGTTGATGAGAAAGAAGCTGTGGTTGGCACGGGGAGGCTGCGAGTAACCGGTATGTGTAACTGTCCAGCAAACTGATGTCCATGGAATGTACTTCTGCAGAAAAATATGTATTAGTTTACATACAGTCTTACACATAGAGAAGACGTGGTTCTTTGGCCTTTTGACTTTCTTATGGCATTTTTTTTGGACAGTCTTTGATCTTTTCTTCCACCATATCCTTATTTTTAATCTCCAATTGGTGCAACTCAAGGGCTTATCATTTATTCCTCTGTCGCCTAAACAATTCAAATATCTTGTTTTCCAAGTTTTTTTTTTCATTCCCATTGTATCAGATATTTATATCACCTGTATTTGTACAAAAACAAAAATTCTTGTTGAACTGAAGTTTGTCTAGGGTTCCTATCAGGCTCATTTGGGGGACTGAAAAATTTTAAGAAAAAAAATGAAAACACATTCTGAAAGCATTGGCTGATTTTCTCTAAAACAGAAGACACAATCAGACACTGGTTCAATCCACTCCTACATTAAAGTGAAAATCAATAGCAATGCCATTCTCTCCCATAATATTACCAATAGTGAGAAGAAAGCAATGTTTCCTGAGCTAGGAGGGAAATTCAATACCCTTACAAGGTTTTATGCAACATATAACTCTTAGCAAAAAAAAAAAAAAAAAAAACCCTACAAAAAAAATTATAAGAAACAGTGCTGCATAATCTAAGGGAGCCGTGACCCTGGTTTCTTACTGAAATACTCATAAAGGACGTTAGGGAGTCCTTTGCCTTGTTAGGGTCTATACAGCTATCAGTGGGTTCAAATATGTCAGGAAACACTTTAAAATAATGCATCTGATAGATGTACAGAACCTAACAAAGCAAACACAGATTGGCCATGAAATTAAGTTGCAAGCCTCGCAAATGATGCGGGACTCAAACAAGTCAGAAGTGATGTGGAAATACTGGACTGGGGCTGGCATGACAGCTCCACTGGCTCATCCTTTGCCTGCAAACTCTGGCATCCCATAAGGGCAGCGGTGTATCTCCAGGCTGCTCCACTTCCCATCCAGCTTCTGCTTACGACCCAGGAAAGCAGCAGAGGATAGCCAAAGACCTTGGGCCACTGCACTCACATCGGAGACCTGGAAGAAGCTCCTGGCTCCTGACTCTGCATCACCTCATCTCTACCTAGTGGTTGTGACCATTTTGAGAGTGAAGCAGCAGATGAAAGATCTTTTTCTGTTTCTCCTCTCTGTAAATCTACCTTTCCAATGAAAATAAATCTTTAAAAGGCAGCAAAAGTTGGCGCTATAAAAGAGACAGGACCATCCTCAAGTCAAATGTTTTGCTGCGTTTTTCACCTCTCCTGCCACCGGCACAGCCTCCTTAAGCACGAGACACCAGGGGAGGGATAAAGAGGCTCTTTCCAGAACCTTCATTCAAGTTTCTTTCAAGTTCCTCTTATCTATCTGACCCAGATAATAAAGCTTTTCTTTCCATGGTCTTGATTGCTTAAATAACCAATAATAAAAATAATAATAATAACAATAATAATTTAAAAAATCTGTTAAGATCCTGAACCTTAGTCAATTAGGAAACTGAAAAATAGTTTGCAAGTCAAATTCATGGAGGAAATTCAGCAGCTTCACCAGCTCAGTTTAAGATTAACCTAAGATTTTAAGCAGGCACCTTTCCTCCCCTAAAAATAGTATGGGTCACCAAGTAACCAAAACTAACATATCTCCCTTCCCAACCCCAGTTAACAGAACAGATTATTGGAATAACACCAGCATGTTGGCTTCCAAAAGAATACTCTTGCACCATTGCCAGCACTGACTTTAGGCAACTGAAAAACTGCTAGCTTGACTGCCTCCAGTGTATTTTAGTTCTTTGAAAATGCTTTGCTGAGCTGGGCCCATTCCCAAAAAAGTAAATACCTCACAATGAGCCGACCAAGTTCCATCCCTTTGTGCTTTATCCTGCAGCAAGGCAGGCTCACACGCAGCCAACAGTGATGGTGTAGAAACACGGGAGTACAAATACGGGTATTATTCGCAAAGCCAAAGTCAGAACCAGACGAGAACAGTGGACAGCCCAACGCTCAGGGGTGACCATAAGAGTTTGGTATCATGGCACAGCCCAGTTAGCTCTCAGCTCATGCCATAGCTGCTCCATTTCCAATCCAGCTCCCTGCTAATGTGCTTTGGAAAGCAGCAGAGGACAGCCCCATGTGTTTGGGTCCTTGTATTTATATGGGAGACGCAGGAGAAGCTTCAGGCTTCTGGCTTTGACCTGGGCCAGCCCTGGATGTTGGAGCCATCTGGGGGGTGGGGGGTGCGGTGAATCCACCAATGGAAGATCTCAGTTTTTCCCTGTCTGTGTAACTCTTTGCCTTAAATAAACCTTTAAAAACGAGAAAAGAAGCAAGGAGAATAAGTTCAGGTCCCATGGAAAAACATGGAGACAGCTCTCTGGGAAGTGTGCCGAGATCTCTGATTCTTTAAACACACAGCCAGAATCATAGCACATGTGTTGATGCGGCTGTGCAGCCAGAGGAGAAACCTCATGCCTCAGTTATGATATCTCAACTGAAAGGAACAAAGTAATCAACTGAGATTGGCTTAAACTCTACGGACACCTGCTAGCTCACGTCAGAAGTCTCCTGCTGCAGTCCAGTTCCAGGCTGATTAACTTCGTAGCCAGTTGATAGTTTATTCCGGCTTTTCCTCTTGGCGTTGTAGTCCATGTTCCTCTATCTACTATCCAATGCCCTCTTCAATTCTTAGCAGCACTCCCTTCTACAGTAACTTCTCTGAACATTCGTAAGGAGATTTGAGTTGTTCTTTCAGCCTGTATTACATTTCCTGCATTTCCCTTCTAAGAGCCATTTAGCTCCCCAATCCAGTAGACTTGTTTTTAATAAAGAGTTTAAGACAGTCACATTCACTTTGATTAATGTTCCATGTGAACTTATGCATGCTACCTTATTTCATGATTTCTATTTGTTAATCTTTTTAGATGCGAGCTTTGAAAAAACCCGATAAGGGGAATGATGGAGGGACCAGCTCACTCACAGATCATTGTAAGGGCTTAGGATTCATTGTGAGTGCACTGGAAAGGCATTACTCTCGGTGGGGTATTCCTCGATGCACTGCACTTGTTAAAATTAATACAACCATTACAAGGGGTGATAGATTGAAGCAAAGATTCAAAGTGATGTGGGCAAGGGTGTGTTAATCTTACTACAGGCTCGTGTCTCACACAGGGTAAGATGATTGAGTGCAGACATAGTTAAGCTGCACAGAGTGAGAACTTCATTTGAAAGGTGTGAAAGTGAACACACAGATCACGCAGGGGTGTAGATTGTCCCACGTGGAGGAAAAACCCTGTATGAGTAGGCCTGACCATTGCCAGAATGGAGGAAGGATAGGGAAGGGCGAGGGAGGGGCAGCACCCCCGGGCAGTGCCTCTAGCCGGGGTCTGCAGTGAGAAAGCAAGCGAGAACTCCCTCAGGAGCTGGCTTTTACGAGGGAGGGGTGCTACCTCTACTGGCATACGGTACCTCCATGAATTCCATCTGGAGCTGAATGTCCATGTTTGCATGGCTTCCACCCACACGTCCCAGATGAAGCAGGTGTATCATGGGAAAGGGGGGATTTTGACACAGTGGACGGTGTTGCATTTAGGACCATCAGAGGCTTGCAGTTCAGGCAGACCTATCTAGCTACCTAGTTACACCATATCAACAGCATTCAGATTAACTAGCAGTCTGTTAACAGTAAGACAGGCAATTGATAATGGCAGTCCTAGAGGGAAGCAAATTATTCCAAATTAGGATCTGACACAGAGAGCCCAACCCAACGATCAACTGGTCACGGCATGTCCTGATGGCAGGCACCCAAGGAGAGCCTTACTGATGATATTTGTTTCTGGACAATGGCCTTAACTGCCTGGATAATTTTGCATTTGCTTCTGACCGATAACATTGCATGCTGGGGAGGAGATTCTATTTGCATGGTAAAAAGTAGCCCAGTTAACATTTTACACACTGAAATTGAAGATATCTGGGAGACAACCACAGCTCTAAGACAAGGAAGTGCTTAAACAAGATTTCAGGCCTAAGCCAAGGGTGGGACCCACAGCAAGGGTGGGGACCCACATCAATAATGGAGCACCTGGCTATATCCTAAGAGGTGTACAGACAACGCGAAGCTACTCAACTCCGTGCATATGCTGACAAGATTCAAGAGAAGAAATATTCTCAGTGTAATACCAACGATAATCTTTCCATGTAGAGTGCATGATATTTCCAGGAAGCTGGATTTACTTGTTCATGTCCATGGGCCACAGCACTCCTTGAAATGCTCGTCTACAGACTGGTCGAAGGCCAGATGCACCACACTTGACTGTATAGTCTTCCTGCTAGAAAGAGAGCTCTCCCTGCCCAGGACTCCAAAACAATGGAGCTGCACTTTGCTACTGCCACACTACTTTCTATCATGTTTGTCATCTGCGTATGAGAAATCTCATACAAATGAGAGCTGTGTATTCAAGTCACCCTAGGAAAGTTAACTAGCCTTCCTACTCCAGTTTCCTCCTCAGTTCAATGGAATGATACTGTCTCCATCTAGGACCTAGGCTATTAAGCAAGTTAGGATGGGACAAACCGCAGTCACCTGCTTTTATAGAGCAGCTCTGCACCCCAACTGACACTGGTCCTTCCATATAATGAAGTTCCTAAATTAATCCAGCTGGGAACATATTGATTCCTAGAAATTTTAAAATGTTTAAATTTTTTATTTTGTTTTGTGCCTTAAACATAAGTCGCCCAACACACAAATTTTACACATAGAACTGGAACTGGTCAACTTACTATTACCTAAAACATAGACGGATATATGCAACTTTCAATGGGATTTTTTATTTTTAGTTGAGGTCTAATATTGCTCTCTGATTTTAAAATACAACCTCTGCTTTGTAACTGCTTTGGAAATGGAAATCCTATTTCGTTCATTGAGTATTGTCGTAGCCTCAGGGAAGTAGGGAACAAATCATACTGATTTTTTTGGTTTTTTTTTGCCCTGTAATTCACACACACAGCTGTACAAATTCAGCCACAAAGTACAGCATCTACTTGTGTTTAACACTCAGTGGACTTCCATGTCCACAGGCTCTTTATAAATCAACTCAACTAACCGTGGAGGATCAAAAATATTCTAAAAAAATTCCATCTGCACTGGCCACACAATTTTTTTCCCTGTCATTTTCCCCTAAATGACCATCATTTACCAAGAATTTACACTGTACTGGATACTGAGTAATCTGGGGCTCGTTTAAAGCACACGGGTGGATATGCACAGGCTATTCCGTTTGATGCGGGAAACTTGAGCATAATGGATGCTGACGGTGTAGACTGTTGGATCTGTTGGATGTCATCGATGGGACTGACTCCTGTTCCCCTTCTGTTTAGGACCTGGAGGGGCCCTTTTTGAGCATTCGGTGGAGACACCTCTGATCAGAACAGACCCCTCGCAAGATCTTAGGTAATAATTTCTGTTCAGATTATTAACAAAGCCGCCTACACAAGACAATGTGCTGGAATGATGCGTTTACAGCTAATACCTGATTGTTTCTTCTTCAGTTACCTGCTTCCCTGACATTCTGCTGAGGACCAGTCATCATTTCCTAAAATCCAAAGCAGATCCAAAAGTCCTCCTGAACTGGCACTCTTGCTGCCTCTGAATCCCATGCCCGTTCCTCCTCTCCCCTTCTCGGCATCAGTTCCGACAGTTAGAACAGCCTACCTCTGCCTCCAGTGTGTCCCTCTCCAAGCTGCCCTTCACACTGCTGGCAGAGCGACCTTCCTGCCAACTGCCTAAAACCTACACTGAGCCCCAGACTGGCTCTACACAGCTGGACTGTTATGAGCAATGACCCCCACCCTTCTGAACCCCAGAAGACCCTATCAGGTGCCCCCCTGCCCAGCTCTGCAGGTCTGGGCTGTGATGGGCAGTGGTCCCCATCCTTCTCTGCCCTCTTAGGCTTGAATGGCACAGCATCCCTCTACCCGATACAGTTTGCACAGCTTAGTGCACTTGACTGCTGTGTGTCCCTCCTCTTGGGATAACACCCATTTCTACACCATCTGCACACAAATTAACACAGTTACACCTTTTAGGGGAAGAGAATGGCACCTATAGTCTTGAGAATTTGCAAAAGGCATTCCTGGAAAATGTCCATTTACTTTAAATTTTTAGAAGTATATAAAGTCATTGTTAGTAGAAAACAGAACATTTCAAAAGCAAATTCTTGATGAATTCATATTTGCAAAACACTAGAACTTGCTGGTATACCTCTTTTTGTTGTTGGTATAGCATGTTTCACACAACAGACATCACCACCCGAACCGCCTTTAGCAAGCACCTGGTTCTGCAGTGTTATGTAGAGCCATGTTGCTTAGCAATCATTCCATCCACTCCAGAACTCTAGTCAAGAATGGTTCTGTCCCCATTAAACCCTTTTTTTCTGCCCTTTGCCCAGCCCTGGTAGCCACCATTCTGACTCTGCTTCCACGGCTGCAGCCTCAGTAGGCCTCTCATGGATACGGGCCTATTCTGAGTTTATCCTTTTGTGACTGGTGCATTTCACTTAGTTAATACCCTCAACCTTTGGGATATCTGTACCTTTATACAATACCCTGGGTATACAAACCCTCCCAGCTCCTGATGTCAACCTTTTGTGGTCTGTGTGTCATATGTACTTCAACTTTGTCACTAAGCAATTGAATGTCACGTGGTGCTATAACTGTTTATTTTCATAATACGTTTTATAACAAAGCCAGATTTTTTTTTTTAAAGATTTGTTTCATTTTTATTGGGAAGGCGGATATACAGAGAGGAGAGACAGACAGGAAGAGCTTCCGTCCGATGATTCACTCCCCAAGTGACCGCAACGGCCAATGCTATGCCAATCCAGGAACTTCTTCCGGGTCTCCCACATGGGTGCAGGGTCCCAAAGCTTTGGGCCATCCTCGACTGCTTTCCCGGGGCACAAGCAGGGAGCTGGATGGGAAGTGGAGCTGCCGGGATTAGAACCGGCGCCTATATGAGATCCCGGGCGTGCAAGGCGAGGACCTTAACCACTTGTGCCACCGCACTGGGCCCGCAAAGTATTTACCAAGTCAAATTAACATTGGTTATCTTTTGTGGCTCCGTAAGTAATGAAGGGTAGGAATTGAAGCTTAGTACAGCAAGGAGACATGGGCAAATCCATAGTGATGCCTGAATAATTTAAATGTGTTTCTTTGGACCTGATGGTTCAAGAAGCACAAAACTCAATAAGCACATAGAAAAACATTACCTGCCCACTCAGTGCATATGCTGGATTCCACAGACCATGTGAAGAAAGCATACTTATTTTCCCAACACATAAAAAATGGTCACAAAAGTTGGCATCTTCTCTAGTGAATTCCAATAACGCATCATACAGAACAGACTGTAATCAAAATTCTAAATTCCAGGGCCAACATTGTGACACAGTGGGCAAAGCCACCACTTGCTACCCCAGCATCCCTTGTGGGTTGCAGCCCAGGCCCTGACTGCTCCACTTTCTATTCAGCTCCTTGTTAATAGCCTGGGCCAAGAAGCAGAAGATGGCCCAGGTACTTGGGCCCCTGCACCTACGTCGGCAATCCCAATGGAGCTCCTGGCTCCTGGCTCCTGGCTCCTGGCTCCTGCCTGGCCCAGACTTCTCATTGTGGCTATTTACAGAGTAAGGCAACTGATGAAAGATCTCTATTTGTCTCTCCTCTCGCTCCTATCTGCTTCTCTCTATGTAAGTCTGCCCTTCGATTTAAAAAAATATATATATATATAAATTTAAGAAAAAAATCTCAAGGAAAAGCTATAGAGTATGTTCACTGGTAATAATGTTAAATGTAAAATAAATATGTTAAAATGCAGATGAGCAAAATTTAAAATATAGCAAAATTAGTCTGTTAGGTGAAATGAAAAACAAAATATAACATTATTTCAAATGTAGAAAACGTCATGCTTAGTAACATACATAAAATAAAGAAACTTCCATCAACAATACATTTGTGCAATAAAACGCACTATAAATGAAATTAATAGAAATGTCGTGGGAAAAAAAGGAGTATAGTCAGAAAACGTAGACTTTTTTCAGTCCTTACAAAATTGGTTTGAAAAATCACAGCCTAAAGGAAGGTAAGTCCGTTCTGAGAGAAATTGTTTCATAACAGAAATACAGGTTCCTAAGCAGATCAATAATCAGGAAAATGAAAAATAGAATGGCGCAGTACAAAGGGACTTCAGAAATTCTGCAGAAAAGTGGAATTGAAAGACAGCTTTGAGTGCCAGCATTGTGGTGCGTTGGATTAATGCACCACCCATCGTTTTGGCATCCCTTATCAGAGCATCAGTTTAACAGCCCTGGCTGCTTCACTTCCGATGCATTTCCCCGCTAATCTACCCCGGAAGGCGGCAGGAAAATGGCCCAAGTACTGGTACCCTTCAAATCCCCAGGAGAGACTTGGCCATGGCCTGACCCAGACCTGGCTGTTACTGCCATCTTGAGAGCGAACCAGCAATGGGAGAGCTCTCTTCTCTCCATCCTCTGCCTTTCCAATAAATAAATCTTCCTAAAAACTGTTTTAAGTACCAAAAAAAAAAAAATTGAAATCCAATCTTTTTTCATGATACGCATTTTGTATGAATGTTGAGAGTTCCTCCAAAAGTTCATGAAGATGGGAATTATGAGAAATGGACACATGGATTGCCAAGAATTGTTTGCAACCAAATAAAGTTATTCTTTAATTCCATCTTCCACAACCTTTGTGGGACATCCTTGATTGAGTACAATACTCATAGCCATGGAGGGTGGGGATGGGACATAAAGTCTAGCAATGTCAACTATTTGTAAAGAAAAACAAACTCCTACACCACTCACAGGATTATAGATTAGTGCAGTCCCTCTGGGACATATATTAACCAGATTTGGCAAAACTGAATCCATTATTGAGATCTCCTTTGCTGTGAGGCATTTGCTCACACAAATCAGAAATGTGTAACGCAGGAGGCAGAGTTAATATTCAAAGTGTCAAATGATAAACTAGCCAGCCCGGAAGGGCGTCTGAATATGTCAGTTCTAGTTTTCTTTTAGATGAAAAGACGTTTTAAGATTTGATTTTTTCTTAGCAAATAAAAAATGACACTGGGAGGACACAGGCCAGTGCCGTTGTGTAGTCTGAGTTGTGCAGTGACTAAGGCAGCAGCGTGCTGAGCGGGCAGCGGGGCAGGTCACGGAAGCTTCCATCACCGCCTTCACACTGGAGGGGCATTAACTGTGTGACACTCAACGCCGCCCCTCGTAAGTGTCCACTCCCTCACCGAGTTCAAAGATGACCGTATTCCTTCTGGGAAGTCCTGTCTTCATACATTTAGAAGATCATTTTATTTGTATCACGAACTAAAGAAATCCAACGTGTTTTAAGAACTGGAGCATTTTTGCCTCTTGCTGATCTTTAAACATTTCAGCAGGATCAGCGTATCAAACTGTTGGGTTGGGAAGCAGAGACTCCTGCAAGCGATCACGCTGTGCCAGCCGCTGGGGACTCCCCTTTCCCAGGCAGCAGCGACAGCTGGGAACAATTTCTTTTTTTTTTTTTTAAAGATTTATTTATTTATTGGAAAGTCAGATATACAGAGAGGAGGAGAGACAGAGAGGAAGATCTTCCGTCCGATGATTCACTCCCCAAGTGAGCGCAACGGCCGATGCTATGCCAGTCCGATGCCAGGATCCAGGAACTTCTTCCAGGTCTCCCACTCGGGTGCAGGGTCCCAAAGCTTTGGGACGTCCTCAACTGCTTTCCCGGGCCACAAGCAGAGAGCTGGATGGGAAGTGGGGCTGCCGGGATTAGAACCGGCACCTATATGGGATCCCTGTGCGTTCAAGGCGAGGACTTTAGCCGCTAGGTGGCGCCGCCAGGCCCTGGGAACACTTTCCTGCCTGGAATCTTCTCGGTTCTCTTCCTAAGCTTCATCAGGGAGATTCTGATCATTGTTACAAACCCAAAATGTGCTAAGGCCAGCTTCCATCTCGTGGTATTATCAATTCAGGATTAAAAAAAATAAAAAGAAATCTTACCATCTTCCTAAAAAATAAATAAATAAAATTATAAAACTGCAAACAAAACCTAAAGCCAACTTGGTATTGCCTAACGATCGTGTAGCAAATGCAAGTGTTTGTCCTTAAATCTCTTTCTGGATTTTCCCAGACAAGCGTGCAAGTGTGTTTCTTAACTAAGTTGCAGAAAGTCATTCACAAATGGTCTTTTCTTCCAGTGTGGGATGAGGAATTCAACAAGGCACAGGGTTAGGGCATTGCCACGTTTGTATCTGATTTTGGAGGCTCTGGTCTCCTCTCATACTGGGAAGTTTGTTTCTTCACTACGAAGTGGTTTCTGGGCCTATGAATGTCTACTGTGCAGTACGTTAGCATCCAGAAATGATGTGAAGATTCTCTGTGCATTGAACGCTGAGCGCGGGTTGAGGAACTTTTCAGTTCTCGGATCTTTTGCACTCAGGCTGGAATCCCCGACGCGGAGTCTAAGCATGGACGCCCCCCGAGGAGTTCACATTGAAGCCCGAGCTGGGAGAGTCGAGGCCCTTTCCCAGATGGACATCGTCCTTCAAAGCAGTGACGGAACGGTAAGTTGCTGGGCCGATTGGATGTCCTGACCATATTTCTGAACGTCAAGTCCATTCCGGTTTTGGCATTTTAAATTCGGGCTAGGTTGTATCAGTAACTTAGGAAAGGCACACGTGTACACTGTGAGAAGCCAAAGACAATTTGGCATTCAAAGAAGGGTTAAGCAAATGTGATGCTGTGTGTCAGATACAGAGAGCAGCTTTTTTGTTTTAATGGCATGGATGCTACAAAGTCACTTATTCTCAACACCCCCCCCCCAACAAAACAAAAACAAAACAAAAAACTAACGAAAACCACAATAGACTTTCAGAGCTTACAGAGCACAGATCTTGCCACTTTCTAGTGGTACAGCTCTGTCAGTCTAACAATGTGCCATCAGGCAATGAAACGTGGTCCTTTGTCAGCACCCAGACTGTGCTCTTTACTCACCCATGTGAATGGAAGATGAAAATGTTTATTTTTTAAAAGTCAACTACAGTAAGGACAAAATATGACAGTCTGAGTCTTCTAGAAATAAAACATCACCAATATAAACGAGAGTCATAATCAGGAAATAGAATGCATGCTGCTTAACATCGTTGCTAGAACCTTCTTTATTAAATACAGTTCACATCAGCCAGAAGACCAAGCATCTTATGCTCCAGAAGGAATCTGAGGGGTTGGCTTTAAACTGATTCTAGTCACACAGTCTTTGAATTCATTCCTCCTTAACGTCTCATCTTTTTCACTCCAACAGCTTGTGCTGGATGCTGAAACGGTGTGCATGCCCCGGCTGGTGCAGGGCACTCGGGATCCCCCTGGCAGTTCACAGGGACTCTATGAAATCTGCGTGTGTCCAGATGGAAAGCTGTATCTGGCTGTGGCAGGCACGGGCACCATGTGCCAGGAGCACAGCCACATCTGTCTCTGAGCCCCTGCCTTGGCGCAGCCAGCTGGGAGCTGTGGATTGGAACCCTCATGCCTGGGGAACCACATGGTACCTCAAAGGACTGAGACCAAAGATGACACTAAGGGGGAAGATGTCCCTTTCGAGGAACTCAGCGTGATCGGAGGGGACTGCATGGTCTCACAGTATGTGGGTGGGAGTCACAGGGGTTGGAGGAACCTCAAAGCCATGTGCTTGGTCCCTCAGAATGGCCAATTCCCACCAAAACACGACACTTCTCTTCACCTCCCTCTTCACATCCTGTACATGCCAACGCACAGTGAAATGTGGAATTGTGTGAAATCAGTTATGATGTTCAAGCTTGGATTTCTAACTTCCCATAAATGTAGTGCCAGTCGGTATTAAATGACCCAAAAGTGTTTGTTTCACTGATTTTATCTCTCATACTTTGGCTCTCCACTTAGTTTGACACTTAAAACTTTCCAAGAAAATCTTCAGGATTTGAAAGGACTCAAGTTGATCTTACTTTTTTTTTTTTTAATTTTTTGATCTTTTTTTAAATCGGAAAGTCAGTTATACAGAAAGGGGGAGAGACAGAGGAGGATCTTCTGTCGTTGATTCAATCCTCCCCAACCAACCGCAATGGCTGGAGTTGAGCCGATCTGAAGCCAGGAACCCGGAGCCTCTTCCAGGTCTCCCATGAAGGTGCAGGGTCCCAAGGCTTTGGGCCGTCTTCCACTGCTTTCCCAGGCCACAAGCAGGGAGCTGGATGGGAAGTGGAGCTGCCGGGATTAGAACCAGCACCCAAATGGAATCCCAGCGCACATGCAAGGTGAGGACTTTAGCTGCTAGGCTACTGTGCCAGGCCCTGATCTTATTTTCAGTATGTAGTCAATGAGTTAAGTCCCACAAAATTCATCATGCTTTCTCTGTATCAGTGAGCAATAAAAATCAACCTACATTTTTCAAAGATTCGAGTGTTAAAGAATGTCTTACTTCCTTTAGTCCTCATTGTAAGTGTTTTTTTGGGTAGGTATGATTTGGGCCCAGGTACTAGGGACAAAGGCTCAGGACAAGTCACCGGCTGCAAATTAACTACTGAAATTAAACCCAATTGCGGCCTTAAACTTGAACGTGAAGCCCCAACTTCTGCCTTCACGCTGGTCCAGTTCTGGCATTTGAGGACATTGGGGGAACGAATCAGCCGAAGGGAGTGCTCTGTTTCTCATTGCTCTCCAACAAAAACAGAGAATCGCATCCCTTCTTCATTGCCCTTCCCAGTCTTCATATTTTACATGCATTGTCCTACAGATGTGTTGTGCCCTTGGCAGCCTGTGGGTCTACAGCCCCGCTCACCAGAAGCACGTCTGATTGGATGGCCAGTGCAGCCTGGACTCCGAGTCTCCGGGGCCTGGGTTTGTAATCAAAGGTAAGTGAGGTGCTTTCCAGAGGCACTTACCAACTATGAAGGAGAGAAACATGAGTCTTAAGCACATACAAACAATTCTTATTTTTAAAGATATATTCTTTTTTATTGCAAAGTCGGATACATATAGAGGAGGAGAGATAGAGAGGAAGATCTACCCGATGATTCACTCCCCAGATTGCTGCAATGAATGGAGCTGAGCCAATTCAAAGCCAGGAGCCAGGAGCTTCCTCCAGGTCTCCCACGTGGGTGCAGGGTCCCAAGGCTTTGGGCTGTCCTCGACTGCTTTCCCAGGCCATAAGCAGGGAGCTGGATGGGAAATGGGGCTGCCAGGATTAGAAGTGGCGCTCATATGGGATCCTGGCATGTTCAAGGTGAAGACTTAAACCACTGCACCACTGCGCTGGGCCCCCATTCTTATTTTTAAATGTATCTAATACTGGCTTCACTACATAAGGAGACTAATTTCCTAGCATTGGTCACTCTGGGCTGTGGTTTGATTCCTAACCTTAAGGCAACGCCTGCCAACCTTCTTCAAATAATGAAAGAACAGCACTACTTGGGGCCACCTCTCTCCAAACAAACTTACTAAACCAAAATTTCAAGAACCTTCACCTTCAGCCCGTGGCTTTGGCTCCAGCTGGAGCCCGTCTGACCTGTAGCCTCCTTTGATGGATTTCGTTTTACCAGTTCCTGTTGTCATAAGGCAATTTCTGGCCAAAAACAAATAATACAGAAGATGAAAATAAATATAGACATACATACATATATATATATATATATAATAGCCTCTTCAATTGTGTTTTGTTGCTCTGGTAGCTTTCTGATTGATAGTTCAGGTAACAAATCTTCTGTAATCTTGGATTTCTATGGTTGGGCTCCCTCTGCAAGACAGCTTTATCTCCCCTGCCCCCAGCCCCAACATCAGCCTTTCCATCAGCACCTGTCCCTCCTCCAGCAGGCTGGTGGCCAGCACCTTGGCAGCGCCGCTGGGACGATCCCCACCCTGCTCAGAGGAAGAGCTTGGCCTGCCTTCACAAAAGGTCATTCTGCTGCCCACTCTCCCTCCCACGCCCAAGAATCCCAGAAGAAACTGATTCCCTCTCACCCCCTTAGTAGAAACACACACATGCACACACACCGACCTGCAGCTGGCCACTCACCTCTGTCCTATTTAAACCCTTACTTCAAAAACGATTAGTTCTCCTAACATTTATCACACACACACACACACACACACACACACACATTGCAGCTCAGTTCCCTAAGATGCCCTGACCACTCACCTCTGCCCTATTTAAATCAAGCGTAGTTCCTAACCCATAGACATTCAGTCTTCTACGCCTTACTTCAAAAATGGTTACTTCTCCCAACACCTACCAGCTTTGCACAAGTTACACATGAGATCTACATAACACTTAAAAGAGAAAATTGTCAACTGGCACTCGGGGAAACAAATCCACGAATCCCTAGGCCAGCGGGTGACCCGCCTCCCCATTTTATTTACCATGACTTTAAACTTTGACCCACTAATTCTTGTTGAGTGTGTGTGTGTAAATTTCAATATTAAGAAATGATAAAATATATCCTAAGTGCTGGATTTCGGCTTCCAAGTAGCAAGTGCCTTTATTAAAAAAAAAGTCAAAACCCAGAATTTGGGCAGCCTAACCCTGAAGGCTTATGCCTCGGGTACAAGGAGGAGGGGGAAGGGAAATCCTGGAGCCTATGAAATTGCATCATGGAATAAGAAAAATCAATTAATTAAATTTTAAAAGGACAATCATGAAGTAACAACAAAGCCAAAAAAAAAAAAAACAAAGTGAACTCTTCGTATTTGCCAAAAACCAATGTGAACTCACTTCAGACACACAGCTGTCCCCTGAAACGAATGACAGGAATTTGATGAGCTCCTCCACTGCATAAGCAGGAAAAGCACAGTTCCTGCACATTGTTGTTCAGGCGCACACGGAGGAAATGGCTGATCCCACCCACCTTGAAAGCCAGCTGCAACGAAACATGTCCACGGCCAAGACAACTGAGCAACACCAATGTCAGCAGGCTACTCTTCCCTCGTTTTATTTTACTATTTTAAAAAATTCATTTATGTTTCGAAGTCCGAGTGACAAAGAGAGGAGGAGAAACAGATTTTCCGTCCTCTGCCTTATTTTCCAACATCCTCAGGTCAGCCAGGACTGGGCCAGGCCCAGGTCAGGAGCTTGCAACATCATCTGATATTTCCACGTTGTTCCCAGGAATCCAACCAAGTCCTTGGGCCATTATGTGCTGCCTCCCAGGAGCACAAGCAGGAAGCTGGATAGGATGTGCAGTCGCCAGCACTTCATCCCAGGAGCTCCAATTTGGGATGCTGGTATTCCAACAGGATGCCTAACCTGCTGTCCCCTTCCGTAACTGTAACGTAAGCTCCCTGGAGGCAGCTACATGCAACATACGTAGAAGCAGGTCTTCAAGCAACGCCTGTGCCAACTCCCATCTACCTCTGCACAATGAACAGACACGCCCTCCTCTGCACATCCTGCCAAAAGGAGACCTCTGACACACTCACCATGTCCACTGATCTTTTCACCCGAGAAGGGAGAGCAGTTTGAATTAAGTCACAAGCAACTCATGAACCTAGTGTTTAATCTGCATTTTACACCAGATCAGTTATGAAAAAGAAACCTACTAGAATTCCAGCCTGGAAATGCAGCAGAAAATTCTAACGTTCCAAGTAAATGCATACACACATGCACACACGCACTACTGAATACACAACGATACTACGTTTGATTTCCAATGTACTCTTTCTCAGAAATAAACTAGCTACAAAGATTCCATATGTACATTTTGCTTTATTAAAATTATGGCACTTAATATAGTAGCAGTAATAATTACATGATTTCACATCCAGAAGCAATACAGTTGTAGAGGTGCAGACATTCCTTCTCACCCATATAAGTAAAAAAAAGTTTTCATATTCTGTAAGCCCTTACTTGCATAAAATATTACATTTAGCATCACTTACAGCCAATACACCTATATAAACTAATTATCATTAATTTTTTGTTTAACATTCTGCAAAAAAATGTGGAAGTAAATCAGTATGATAAGACATTTGAGCGTGATGAAAACCATGTGTCAGTTCTGAATTCATTCGAGGGAGAAATACAAGCTGAAAATTCCTCTTTCATAAACTGCTGGGAACCATCACAATTACGTCAACAACTTTTAAAAATGTTTTTAACAAAAACATACCCTCAAAACTCTTACTAAATATCATATTGGACAAAACTCATTTTTTTTTTAACTGCAGCACCTTTAGACAGCAAAAGATTGCATCCTGTCCAATCACACTGTATGAACTGTGACGTGTGTGGAAGATGCAAAGCAAGCATTCCAACAGTTGCTAAATGCTGTTTTGGTAAGCAATTTCAGGAACAATATTAACATCTGGTACTAACTGCCACCATTCTGAGTTTTCCATACAGTATCTTCATGAAACAGGAGCCTGTAAACCTACGTGTAAAACACACAGAAAATAACAAAATACTTAAAATAAAATTGTAAAGCAAGTGCCGTCTTCACACTCTGATCAAGTAATACTCAGGATTACATTACAATACTGTACCATTTTAAATGTGCTGAGCATTTAAGATGTAAAACGGCCACGACTTCATAATCACACCCAGCCAATCATAAAGCATCCAAGAAGATCCACAAACACGTGATAAACCCTGAAGATTTCATTTCACCTCTATAATTAAACCAATGATATGTCCAGTGTTTCGTTAGCATCTTCAAAAATACCATGTGAAAAACATGAAATGAACCTCACCCCACCCAGAGCTATGAATTGACCTGATTGCTAAGCTTTGGCTGTATAAAGTGCACTACAACCATGTGCCACCCCAATCACTCCAACAATCGAGTGATTTTTCAGTTCACCATCTTCCAAATAATTTCCTCTTAGATTCATTAAGGTATTCTGTTGGAATTCACAGTACAATAACCACAAAATCCTGGCAGAACAATTTGCAATGTGCTTCACAAGTCCTAGGTGAGTGACGATGCAGCTCAATGACGTATAGCAACTTGGGTTTGTGCTATCACACACTCAAGATCTGGCTCGGCATTTTTGTTTCCTTTCAATACTTACTCTTTATACTTTTTGTTGTATAAAATTTTCAAGTTTTATGATGATACAAGCAGTACATTCCATCACCCTCATGGCAACCTCAGACGTGAACCTGTCATTTGGGATCTGGGGGAAAGGAAGCAGGTCAGGGTATCTTGTTTTCAAGCTGTCTACACCGTACGCCTCCAAGGTGTGCACATCATTTGTCAGCCCTTCAAGCTGCTGACTGTATTCCTCTATTTTTTGTGCAAGTGCCGTTGGTTTCACATCTTTGTCAGACTTGCCCCTCACCGCATAGTCAGCTGCAATCAGTGCTAACTTGGTAGAGAGATAACACTTAAAGCACACCCATTCGTTGGCATTTTTATGGAGGTCATTCCGGGCAGCTGAGAAATTCGCTCGGGCTTGTCTTAACCATCTCCGAGCTTCAACGGGATTGCCAACCGACTTGAAAGTGGGAGGCACAAAGAACCTTTGGGAGTAAGTCTGTCCACCTGGAGGAGGGCATTTTTCTTTATTTTGTTGTTGCCTTTCAGACTTGTGGCTCGTGGCTTCCTGATTCCACGAAGTGTAAAACCTCTGAAATGAGTACTTGTCTGATTGGAATCGGGAGGCCGAGGTGGAAAATGTCCGTCTCGAGGCTCTGTCTGCGTTTTGATCGAGAAAAGCCTGCTTTTCCAATCTGTTGATTTCATTCTGCAAATGCTTAAAAACTTCATTAGCGATGTCATGGTTCTCTGGATTTTTGTCAGGATGCCACTTCAAATACAATCGCCTGATAATCTTTTTCCGTTCTGACTCTGGAAGCTTCCAGGCTTGCTCCACTACCGATGTCACTTCTTTTAAGATTTCTGGTAAAGAATTAACCTTAAGCTTCTTGGGAGACTGATGTTTTGAAGAGGAAGTTTTGTGGCTCTCTTTGCCAGGGAAAAGGGGTGGGATGCTTCGCAGACCAGGCGCAAGGAACTCCGTAGGGCTGGTGGGTGTCGAAGGAGCACTCTCCCTACTGTGAGAGCTCTCATCGGGCCTCGAAAACTTGTACAAATCAAGGGAGCTAACTATCTTGTACTCACTATAACCGATATCAATCTGGTAAATCTTGCCTAGAAAACTAGAATTGTCAGCATCTTCCCTTTCAACTTCCTGCACAATAATTGCATACGTATACGTTGGCTGGTACGATCCATAGATATCACCACCTTCAGCATCAACAAGGTACCCAACATACTCTCCAGGGTAGAAAACATTCATTGGATCCATCAGCAGAGTATAATGAATTTCGGCAGGTATCGGGGTGCCAGGCATTGGAAGTTCCAGTTTGGATGGTTCTGAAGAGTCATATTTCACACCCAGACTGTCAAGCTTCTCACTGATCCTATAAATATCATTGCATCCTAGCATGGCAATTAAATACGAAGTGTCAGAAATCAAATTGTCAGTTGCTGACTTCAGTGTCATCGCCAGCGCCAGCAGGAAGTTAATGTCTTTGCTGTCTGAATGTTGAATGTAGAGCAGGATGACCGCATTACCAAACCTCTTCAGGAAAGCAAACGTTTCACTTCGGCTGTGGGGAATGGGATTAAACCCTTTAACCCTCAATGTTGTTTGAAGCTTCTCAAAACAGGACACTTTCAAACCTTCTCTTAGGGCTTTGCAAAGTTTTATGGCTTTTTCTTCATTGGCCAAGAAAGCGTTATCATTTTCGTGCTTCATAATCCTGATGAGTCCCGTGATGAACTGCTCCGAAGACAAGAGGAGCTGCAGTCGTCCCTGGAGGGAGCACAGGGCCCCAAACTGACACACCTTGGGCGTCTCCTCATCTAACTGCTCTTCAAGGATGCTGCTCAACAGACGAGGGCGAAGCTTTTGAGGAAACAGCATGATCAGCTTCGTGTGGAAGCCATGGTCTTTCCCCAGGTAGCACTGACTCAGATCAACGAGCATCTGCACACCAATGTTTCCCTGGATCCTACTTTTATAGTGTGGTGCGTCATCAAACACCAGGATGCTTGACTTGACCAGTCTACCGTCCTGGCTTGGGAGGTACAGAGCAAGGTCTCGTACGTTCTCAAGGTCACCCCTCACCTTGACGGAATCATTCTGTAGACTCTTGAAGAGCCCAGAAACCACCCTCTTGACTGTACGCATTTCGTTAGGATCTAATTGTTTTCCTTCTGAGCTCTTGAATATGCGGCTCAGCACTTCCACGTACTGCTTAGTTGAAATAATGTCTTCAGTACCTAAGTGTTTGAACAACTGATGGAATGTGCCAAGTTCTAACGGAAGCTTGTACAAATAGGGCTTAAAATCAGATTCATATTCCAGGTTGATCACTACCTCCTCGGGCTTGAGAAGTTTCCAGCCATCTTCCACCATCACAAAAGCAACCCCCCGCAGCTGAAAGCGGAATTCCCTCTTCTCTGCACTGAGAAATTCATATATGCTCCTTAAGACCTTTGCTCTGGTTTTCACCATTTCTTCATCCAAAGTTGTCACATTGCATATGTTTCTGCAATTATTAATAACCTTATCGAGAGGGGGATCCAGGTTCACATTAAGCATACTTAGAACTTGCTCAAGCTGCTCCTGTGGACCCAGGTCACTGCCTTCTTGTTCTTTGATCCTCAAGGGTGTAGCTTTCTCTGGAAGAATAGGGCAGGATGTCCACAAGAGCTGCAGCACATCACACTGCTTGAATTTGGGATTTACCTGTGCTCCGTTGAATTTTATGAGAGGAAGTGTTCCATTCACCTCTTGGTACTGAGGATGAAATCGAATGTATTCAGCAGGAGCCCGCTCAGGACATAAGAAAGGTATTAAAGATAGTTCTTTCAGAAAGTTACCAGATAACAGATCCATTCGTTCTTGGAATATATGATGGAGAAGGATGTCAACTGTATTTTGCAGTGTCTCCTTAGTCCAGTTTTCTGTATTAGCTCTCACACTGATCTCTTTAGCAAACTGTAACAACTGCTGCTGTGAAAGTATGTATTTTAGTCCAATATTTCTTAAGAATTCCACCCAGGATGTCATAAATGCAACATGATTCTTGGGTTTTATAAGCTGTTCCAATTTTTTAAAGAAATCTTTGGGAATAAATGACTTTTCAGGAAGCATAACCTCAAAAACTCTCACAGTTCTGTCATAGAAATGTTTTGCTTGTTTCAGTCGGCCGTTAGCATCATGGATTATTAACAAACCTTCCAGTTTTTCAAAAAGCTGCTCTTTCATCTCTGATACTTCCTCAACATTTGATAATCGGTTCTTCAGATAGATCAAGTGCTCTAATTTCGCATCATAGGAGAGATTTTCAATTTTGGGTAAGAGGTGTTTCAAGTACACTTCCAGATCGTCCACAGGCACACAGCCAAGCACCTCATACAGCTCCTTTAAGTGCACCTTCTCCTCCAGAAATGCAGACGGTGATGACTGCGTCCACTTCTCCACCTCGGCTGCAGGGATGCTTTTGGTAAGCACGTAACAGGTCCCGAATTTTGCGATGCTAATGTAGCGCCCGCTGATGGATTTGTAGCACGGAAGAGACTTCAAAATTTTTATATCCTCTTGGGACATCAAGTGACTCAAACTGCAGTTGAAATACATCAAAAGCGCTTCAAAGTCACTTTCCACTAGTTTTTCGGTTCTAAATGTTGATGTTTGCACCATGTAATGCAGGGCCTTCAAAATGCTCGTGGGGCTCTCTATGTTTGCCGTGTGAGAGGACAGCAGGGGAACGAACGCACTGTCTTTGGAGCAGATTTTGTTCAAGGCAAGCTGGATGCAGCCAGCTTTCATCAGAGCATGAAAAATTTTATCACTCTGGGCATTTGGAAACACTGCGATGTGCATAAGGCTTAGCGGAAGCAAAACATCACCTTCAGGGACCACAAGCTGATTGGCCGAAACAGTAAACTTTGTTCCAGGCAGCAAGGCCCAGTCTTTCAGGGTCTCAACCACAATGTCAAACGTTGGTTTCGTGTCCTCCTGATCTTCTTTCACACTTACAGATTCACTGATAAAATGCCATGCATTCTTAAGCCAAGATTCACTTGCAAAGTTGTCTTTCCACTTTGTACAATTTTTGGTCTTGTACTCACGAGGCAACACAGAGGATAACAAATCAGCAAAGCTGGAAATGTCAAACACTTTTGCCACTTTACTGCTCAGTAAAATATTACTGTATTTCAAATACAAGGTATTCATAAACAAGTCCTTGCGGGACGGAATCAATTCATGGTATGTTGTCAGGAACTTGGATCGCTTTGCATCAAACGTTTGCAAAACACTGTCCAGCGTAATCAGAAGGGGCAGGCCTTCCACTTCAATCTCATTTTCTTCGGCATCCTTAAAACAATAATCAACTAGAAGCTTTAAGCTATGAAAAAGTTTTAGGTTAGTCTGCTGAAGACGACAAGGCAGCTTCCCGATATGACAACTGGTGTCAGGCGAGGAAAACGTCATGAGAAAAGATCTGACGTCAGCAGGGGTCACATAGCTAACAGGAATATCGGCATCTATGAGACAGTGGTAAAGATTGGCAGTTTCATCACAATTATACACCAAGTTGAAGCCAATTTCTAAAAGCAGGTGTTTCAGTCTGTAGACATTCTCTGCCACCGTTTTCCGTGTCGTGATATTGTAATCCGCATTTTTAAGATGCTGCAATTCATCTTGTAGCAGATTGTCAAAAAACGGTCTGGTTTTATTTGAAGTTGACATATTAATCCAAGTAATTATAACTGCAGAATGCAAATCGGAGCCATCAATATTTGGAGCCCGAACAACAGGTAAAAGACGCTTCATGTCTTCATGAATACAGCTATAAAGCGCCTTCACCAGGCAATATAAATCTGGCTGTAAATCAAGCCTGTTCACTGGGAAGAATGATAAGAATTTCTTCAAAGTGTCCTTTACCACATGAATAGGCGTGTTCTGCAGAACAGACAAGGTTGGGTCGGATCCAGGGAAGTAGCGCTTTTTTAGCTGTATTAATAATTCCACATAGGCAGGAGCTATTAATGCTGTCATTAAGCTGTTATTCCAGTCACTTCGGACCCCGACTCCATTATCATCACGCCACAGGTTCCTTCTGGCCGAGTCTAGTGCAAAGTGGCCATTCACGTGAAACGGCAGTCCCGTCTCCAAAGACAGAGGCAAAAAACAGAAGGCCCTGTGAGGCTTTTTATAGTTATGAGTGATGCAAGCAGCGACTCCACCTCGAGGGAAAAGGGTAATATCTTGGTTCTTGTGAGCTGATATAACACTTTTAGATACTTTGTCCATGTTTGAAAAGCCAGCCCTATTACAAATCAGCCACGTAGTGAGATTTCCTTCCGAGTCCTCGGTGTCCATGGTGTAGGTTATCTGTTGGACTGGGATGTCTTTGAGCTGCCTCCTTTTAGTAACGCTGTCAATTACGGAGGCATGGAACTGTTTCCTTTTCAATCTGTCTCCATCAGTGATTTTACCCTTGACTGAATACAGCACATTGAGAGCTCCTGTACCTTTGTCTATTTCACAAATCGAAATTTTCTCCATGTGATTGAGAAACATGAGAAGTTCTGCCCCATCTGAGCGTAATTTGTCCAAAAGATTCTGGACCATCCTGTCTGATGACGGGACGGAGGAGATTTCTGAAACTTTGGCCATTTCCGTGTTACGAAGAGGAAATCTGAACATGGTGCAGTTATCGAGCTTAAAGTGGGTCCCCAAGTAAAGATCCAGGACATCAGAGAACTGTGTCCTGAAGTCTGCATCTAGATCTCTAAACATGCGCCCAGGACTAACCGACGTGGCCCCCGGTGCGTATCGCGCATGAGGATCAAAAATACACAGGATGTCATTGCCAGAAAGAAAAGATGGGCAGTCTGTAATATGATACACAGAGTTGAATCCTATTCCATACTGTCCAGTCTTGCAAGGATTTCCCTCTTTGGTGCCTTTGCCGAGATTCTGAATCCCTCTCACATCATCCTCCGTAAAGGGCTGGTTGTTGTACACACACAGTGCTGGCCCTTGCAGCGGGGCCCACTTATCATCAAATATTCGATCAACTGGATGCTGTCTAGGATCAAACACAAAACAGATTTCGGTAGCTTTGGCGTCATCAGCATTTTGAAGAAGCTCTTTCAGCATCTCCTTTTCTGAAGGATAGGCGTTTAGGATGCTCTTAATTCTGCTGGTTAACTTTTCTTTCTGTCCAAATTCCGTGCCAAGCGTGGTAAAGCAGATGTTGGAGGCGTACCTTTCTAAGGCCTTATGTCGCTTTGGTATTGCTCCTAATTTGACGGCTACCTCCCGGGGTATGTCAGCGTGACAATATTTTACAGTGGTGTCCTTTACTTTTATCCAGGGACAGTCATTGTAGCAGAGCGATTTAGCAGGGAGGAGCGTAAGGTTCGAATCTGGCAGCAGTATTTTGCCGTAATTTTTCTCACAAAACTCTTGTTTCTTTTCTCTGATGAGACTCCATATTCCTTCGCTGATGATTCTTCGGCAGAGCTGGAAATTCTGCTCGGTTATTTGCTTTGTTCCCCTTTCTCGATCAATGGATTCCAAAACAAGAGCAAAATCTTCCACCGTAAATGCCTGCCTCACACCCACACTTTCAAAAAGCTCACGGAAATTATTTTTGTATTTATTGGGCAGCTGATACAGGTACGGCGCTGCTTCAAAATTCAAATGGAAAGAAACTTTTTCTGAGTCAACGTAAGCGTTCTCCACGAGAATGAAGCGAAAGGATTTTAACTTCTCGATGATGGTTATCTTAGTGACCTCGTTTTGCGTCATCGCCTCGTGCAGGTACTTGTAGCAAGCGTTGGTGATGTTCTCTTGGTACAAGGTAACTCCGTCATCGACTGATTTTGCCACTTCCTTCAACTGGTTTACAACCAGATCCACTGTCGGCTTCTTGAGCAATCCCAAAAACTCTTTCACAGCCAATGACACTGAACCGCAGCCTCGGAAGGAATGAGAATTTTCATTGAGAATTGGTTGCAACAGACAAACTATATCTTGATACTCGGCCGTGTAAAGGGCAGTTGCAGGGAACATGGTTTCCGGCTGAAAACTATTACCTTTCCAGTCCAGAGAAAAACCTGCTGGTTTTGTCAGAAATGGCAGGAAGGGAATTGTTTGATATTTTGCAGCAAAATCCTTCGCTCGAGGGTCCCTTATTTTCAACTTCTCATCGATGAGACTTAGCAGGATGGTGCTTCTTAAACAGGCAGCAGCGTGGTCACGTGTATTGATTTCAGCCACGGATTCTGCTCGCTCCAACATGTCATCCCACAAAATATCATCCTTCGCCATGCCCAGCTGCACAAGTTTAATCAGAATGATAGGATTGAGATAGTCCTGAGTTGAACCATATGGGAACCGTCCATCTTTGGTATCGAACAACTTTGCGACCCGTCCTTCAGGGTGGATCAATCTTGATGGCACAACCAAAGGATGCCCCTCCAAGGAGCAAGGGATACACGGGGTGACACGAAGAATTCCCGAGAACTCATCAATTTTTTCGTTTAGAACATAATTCATTAAAGGATCTCTAAGTTCTGCTTCAATGTCTTGAATGTTCGGAAAAAACACTTCTGAAAAGAACTGCTTCTCTGAAAATGTGTTTTCGAGCAATATCTGTCTGCAGCCAGCTTCTTCAAACCCTAATTTGACCGAAGAAGGAAGTTCAACGGCACAAAGGTTTTTGGACCCAGTCTTCTTGAGGTATTTCAAAAATATCTTGAAGGCTGCTGGGCCGACGTCTCTTCTCTTCAATATAGAGTCATCCAGAAATCTCACATTTTTCATGGAAACCCAAGCAGACCCGTCAGAAAAGACTCTTGTCAACTCCTTCCCTTTTCCATGTGCTATGTCTTCATAGAAGCCTTGACAGATGACAGAGAAATCATCATGCACGGAGTCGGGGTCGGGCCACACTGCATAGTAAGTGTAATCGCCTAGCTCCCCGCTCGTGGCCATGTCCCGTAAGACACTGAGGGCCTGTAAGTAAGCTTTCACAATCACGTGCCTCATGAACGTGCTATTCCAGCGGCCCTTTGTATCCGTCTTCCAGATTTCTTTCCTATTTGAAGTAACAGCAAAGCATCCATTGATGTGAACAGGCAGGCCTGTCTTGATTCGCAGAGGTAAATAGCAAAACACCTCTCCAACATGGGGTTTCACGGTCCACTTCTGGTCCTGGGTCTCAGAGAGGAGAACTCCTACAGCCCCACAAGGAACCAGTCCTAGTCTTCTTCCACTTTCACTCAGGGAAAATTTCAGAGCCTCTCCAGTATCCATGCAGGAGCTCAGGAGCCACGTGGTACACTCGACGGTTTTTTGTGGCAACTCATCTGATGGCTTTTTGGATTGGCCCGACTTAGCCAATTCGAAGAGAGAAGCTGGGTCATCCTCCGGACCCCTGAACAGCGGCGACTGTAAATCAGCAATCCGCCTGAAGACGTGATGAAATTCTTCAACCGTGATCTGAAGAATACAAGATGCCTTCGGGGGCTCGGCGACGGGCTTCTTGCTACTGCTGCTGCAAGTCTTCATGAGCTTGGCAGCTTCTTTCAAAATGCTCAAGACAGGTGCAGTCAATGCTTTGGAAGAGCAGACCTTCTTTTTAATTACGATTGTGTCTTGTGCTAAGCTGGGATTCACCTCTTCAATTTTCAAGTACTTCAAATACATGGAGTTCACACTCTGAGTGAAAATGATGAGCCTGTGGCCACAGAGGCTAAACTCATCCACAAGAGAGTAGATGTCCGCCGTATTGTAGCAGGTGCTACTGATTTCACTCACTTTTGCTTCCTGCTGAGTTCTAAAGGACAGTCGGAAAAGAGTCCCGTGGTAGCTGTAAGGCGCTTCCACAGTCAGAGGTAACTGACAGCCAAACACATCAATGAAGGGTTTGAACTGATTAGGAAATTTCCTAAGTCTTTTCTGTTGTTTACTCCAATTAATTTTGATCCCAGGATTAGACTTGTCTTTAATGTGTTTGCTAATATGGTTTATGTTCGGGTCAAACATTATCATGAATTCTCGACTCATAATGATGGGAATGTCAGTGAGATGGTACACAGAATTAAATCCGAGACCAAATTTCCCAACTTTGTCAACTTCCGCCCTTTTTAATGATTCTCCTAACCGAGTTATGTTCACGAAATCCGAATCTGAGAATTCCGAATTATTGAAGGACCACAAAGCAGGCCCGTGGCACGCTGCCATCCCCGGGTCAAGGAGGCTCTCTCTGATGTCCATGTTCCTTCTCATGTCAATCAGGAAGCTGCACTCTGTCGCATTTGCATCATCAGCATTCTGAAGCAGTTCTTTAAAAATATCTGACACGGAAGGGTACTCTTCCAGGATATTTTTAATTCTGACCGTCAGAGGTTCTCTTTGCCCTGACTGCTCAAACCCCATGTTCTCAGGATTGATCAGCCGTGTGCTGAGGCACGGAACTTTCAGCCACTCTGCAGTTTTCATGGGTATGTCCTCATGCACCAAGATGATCGGTTCCACCGCATCCTCCAGTAAGTCGTTCAAGTCATCCACTTTGATGTCACAGTAACAGCATTCATGAATCGGCTTCATGATAAGCTTAGAAGGGTCCTTGCTGTGATGGATAGGAACGGGCGTATTGGGGGTCGCTGGAATCTGATTGCTATACAGCCATCTGATGATATTCAACATTAGATGAAGATTTTGTTTGCTTTCTTGTTCACTGAGATCTTGGTCACTTCTGAGATACACCTTTTGAATGACCATGGAAATATGATCCGATGTCAACTCCTCTATTGAACCACAGACTTTGAACAGCTGATGGAATTTTGCCATAGTTTTTGGCACATTATGCAAATAAGGCTGGAGGTCAAGGTCGTGGGTTGGTTTTATCACAGCTTGAGCAAGGGGACAGAATTTTTTGCCTGTCCAAACCCACGGAAACTTTAAGGCTCTGAAAGACTCTTTCCCTTCATTTAAATGATCATGCATGAATCCATAAACTTCAAGCAGAATATGCTGGAATTGGTAGTAGTCTTCATCACTAAAGGTGTTTGAAGAATACCAGTCAACTACAGTTTTAAAGTGTTTTAAAACAGCACTGATGCTAGGCCTTGTGAAGATGCCTAATGCCTTTTCCAAGTTTACATGGATGCTTTCAACAAGAGGAAGTGATGAGCCAACGAGAATAGCGTGAGTGACGTCACACATATCCGGTGGTGCACAAAAGTGACAGGCATCTCCCTTCCAGACCAAAGAGCCAGGATAATTTGGAGGCCTTTCCTTGCAGGCTGGGACCCACTTGATTTTCTTCAGTGTTACCTTTCCTTCAGGTGACTGCAACAGCGCAGGGTTCTTATTTAACACCTGTAAGAGTGTTTTGGCTTTCCTCAGAAGAAACTCTTGGTCCGGACAAGAACCTGCTTGTAAGGCTTCAATATGTTTTGCCACCTGCACAACATCTTCCTCTTTCAGGCTGGCTTCATTTTTTAAACCAATCTGTCTTAAAGAGTGAAGGATATCCGGTGATGTAAAGTCTGAGGGTGGAAAGCAGATTTCCTCTTCATTGTAAAAGAGATCCTTGAGTACCGCGATATCAGGATCGAAGAGTTCACTAGCAGAAACCACACGGTCCTGGGAAATCGGAATGAACCTTAAGGGCATTAGCCAATCGAGAACATTGGGATTCTCGTTTTTAAGGGAAGACAGATTGTCGAGAATCCATAACATGAGGTGTGTTACCTCTTCATTTGAATAAAATGCATTTTCAATATCTTTCAAAACAAGCTTCAAGCAGCTAGTGGTCTTTAACTTCTCTATTTTCAGCATGTTTGCCAAGCGAATGGTGGCCTCGTCACTGCTGTCTATCACGGCGATGGAGAGCCGCAGATCCGGCGGGAGCTTGGCCGTATGGTGCAAGACCTTGCAGCCCTTCAGTTTTGTGTAAGAAGAAATGCCCTGACCGGATGAATGGTTAATTCGCTTAAATATTGTCAATTCTTGGATTATTCTTTTCTCTTTTTCACTGCTATCAGAGAGGCTAGCTAAGAACTTCCTCAGAGCATCTTTGTGTGTTGGAAGTAGTGACGTTATCTGATTACACAATTTCTGCAATGGCATCTTCTCCATGATCTGCAACACGGCACTTGGCAATGGTGAGTGGATGTATTTTTTAATAAGCGGATGCTGAATTGAGGCATCCAACTTTTGAAGGACAATCCCTCCAAGTTTGTGGACAATGTCTGCTAGGAACTCCGGAAGTTGTGCTTCAGATGCATCATCTAACATGACTACTGAGGGAATCCGGAGTCTGATGAGCTCCACGCATGTCTGATCCTCCTCGAGCGCAGTTCTCGGGATCAGCGGCATCTCATCAAATCCACTCAAATCCTCAGAAAAATGGATATAGAGGTTCTTCCAAACCATCTTCAGCCATGAAACAGGGGGATGCTTCCTGTCCTCATCAGATGGATACCACTGAACAATCAACTCCCTGCCAGGCCAGAGTGCATTCATTACTTCCTTGATAAGACGTGCAAATCGTTCTGGGTTTAAAAGCTGTAGCTGAGTGCATGGTCTTCCTGGAAATCATATACATATATATAAGTGTTATAAAGACATACAATTAAAAAAAATAATAAATAAATAAAGACATACAATTCTCAGATAATATAAGCAGTGTTAAAAGCTGCTTTTAGAGTTCTAACTATGTGCCAAAATTCAGCACAACTGGATAATACAATCTTCGAATAATCATACTTTATGCATAAATCTGTATTTATAATAACCTATGGAAGAAATAATTCTCTTTGGAGTGCTCACATGAAGTGTCTACAGAGAGTTCACAGAAAAGACACTTTGTAATAAAACTACACATGGATTAAAGCAAGTTCTTTGTTTGCTCTGCGCCAAAAGAAACATCTCATTTATTCTCTATGAATTTCTTCAAGTTCCCTCTTATGAAATAAACATATAAAATGCATGTAAATGTGTTCTCAAAAATAACCTCTAACAGTCAGCAGATGAATCCATTTCAAAAACAACATGTGGTGCTTATTTGTCACAGATAAAAGCACCAAAATATTGCACATAAAGCTTAAGCACCTCTTCATGTAAAGGAAAAACGGGATAAACAAGGCCAACCTGAATTTTTACGTGTGCCACTTCCTGCTCCCAGGGACAGAAAGCAGGGTGTGACATCAGGGCACAGTGGGGGGTGTCTTGGCCTCAGCCTCCAACACCTTCTGCAGCTGAGGCAGGAGGAGGTCCCCATTGCTTCAACCACTAATGATGAGCATAAGGTAGGGGTCATTTAATCCTTCTGGAATTGACTTATCTGGAAAAGCAATGGGGCTGCCCTTCTAGTACTCTGTACACATGCCTAAATGGGAAGCTCATCACAGCCTCTCCAAAGAAGCACTCACCCGGCTATTAATGATTTATCATAAATTAGTGGATTCTGCAGAACAGCTGCAGGGACCAACAAGGAAGCATGTGGAGCAGTGCTGTAAAGGCTGGGTCACTGCCCACCAGAGCGACTCCACTGCCGGACATTCCATACATAAGGACACCAAAAAGGTGCTGAGACTGAAAACAATATTGTCTTTCGAAGCGCATGTTTTTGTTCCAGAGTCTGTACATATTCATAATATCAGCAGGAACAAATGACAAAAGCTTGAGAAGGTGTCAAAACCAAAGCTGGAACAATTTCAGCTTCTACACAGGGCAACTGATGTCAATGCAAGTAGTAACATTTGAGAAATTTTAACTTCTTGTGAGTAGTCTAAGGTATCGGTTCTGGTTTATGCACTCCACTAATACTTCTGCAAAAACACTCTTTTTAAAACATTAAATGGTATGAACTAGAGTAGAGTGAATAACTGTTAGGTAAGGCAAGGACAATACTAAAAAGTTAGAAATTAAGATCCAGAACATTCAGAGATCCAAACATTAAGTATGGGCCATGCACTGTGCAGAGACACCTACCCGGTAATGCTTCCAGGAAATGCAGTACCCTGTAACACATATACCTACCTTCAGGAAAATCACCTTATGTTTCTGAATAAATAAAAGGCCAATAAAACACACACACATACACACACACACAACCCATAATTAGCATGCAACACATCAGTCATGCTCAACTAAAAAAAAAAAGAGACAATAAAGGAGAGAGAAAATGTCACCAGACACAAGTCCGAGTCCGTTAGCTCAATTTAATCTGAAGCCCTGACTTTCATCTATTTTATATCTAAGATATTTATCTTTTAACCCTACAGTGTAAATAATTAACACAAAAAGTCTCCATGCCAAGGGTAGAGAGCCCTCGAATTGGGCCAGCAACATGATTTTTAGAGCATTTTAATAAATGACTTGTGCTTTTTCAAGGCCATAAAAATCGGCACTGGAAAAAGTGCTTAATGTTAGCACCTGGAGACACAAAGCTTCTACTCAGATTACCAAGTATGAACATTTAACTTGGAAGACAGTCTTTTAAGAGCAAGTTTTTCCTTATTATACAGAGCAGTTCAATAACTTACATGGTCAGAATTGTTCCAATACAAGAATCACAAATCAAAGATTACATTGTATTTTTCACTGTTTATAACTACTTAATGTTTATCCTTAGTGCTATCCTTGAAAAGAAGTTTCAACATGGAAGGAAATATTACAGTCTACTTAAAAATTTAGTCAACCGAGAAATCTCGGCTCTCTGGTAAACTGAAATTTACCACACCGAACTACGATCCCTCCGGGCGGCAGCAGCCGGCTACAGTGATGGGCCCAGACCTCAGGTCCAGAGCCAGCTTTGTAGAGTGGTCGACAACCCAGGGCAGAAACAACAGCTCTGAAAGCGGATGAATCGTCACAGTGCCCAACTGGGAGGCAAGGTTTCGGTCTCAACACACGATGTGATACAGTCACGGTCCAATGAATGGTGTACTGTAAATCAGATCTAGTGTCCCTCTGAAGAAACAGGCAGGGAAAAGAAAACAGGAAGGGGAAAAACAGGAAGAAAAAAGCAGTCTGTGTGCCAGCTGCGAACACCGGCCAGTACTCCAGGAAGACCGCAGCTCGGCGTGCATGTGGCCCAGAGGAAATGGCCCCCTCTGCTGTGAAGACGTCACTAAGGTAGCTCCAGTGCCAAAACACCTTCTTCCAAAACTGGCAAAGTCACTCCACCAGAGATTTCCTAGCCCTCATCATTTTTAAAGAATATTTTACAATTTATCATTGGAAAGTCAGATATACAGAGAGGAGGAGAGACAGAGAAGAATATCTTATATCCGTTGATTCATTTCTCAAGTGGCCACAACAGCCAGAGCTGGGCTGGTCCGAAGCCAGGAGCCTTGCATCTGGGTCTTCCACAAAGATGCAGGGTCCCAAGGCTTTGGACCATCCTCGACTGCTTTCCCAGGCCACAAGCAGGGAGCTAGTTGGGAAGTGGGCCACCGGGATTAGAACTGGTGCCTATATGGGATTCTGGGCACGTTCAAGGCGAGGAATTTACCCACTAGGCTACTACACCAGGCCCCTAGCTCTCATCTTATAGAAGATGCACCAATAGAACGTGATCACTAACATAACCCAGACAGACATTCAGTAAGGTGCAGCTGGCTTTCCCCTGACAGGACAACACATCACAAAACCTAAGACATACTTTAAGAAAAGTATGGTAATAGTAGCTGTGAATGGCAAACTGTGTTTAATGTAAGCCAGCACCAAACTAAATATTTATATAAATAATCAATGTTAAAAATGACTTGAAAGGGGCCTGACCTGACAGCCTAGTGGCTAAAAGTCCTCACCTTCCACACATCTGAATCCCATCTGGGTGCCGGTTTGTATCCCAGAGGCCCCACTTCCCATCCAGCTCCCTGCCTGTGGCCTAGGACAGCAGCTGAGGACGGCCCAAAGCCTTGGGACCCTGCAGTCATGTGGGAGACCCTGAAGAAGCTCCAGGCTCCTGGCTTTGATTTGGCGCTGCTCTGGCCATTGTGGCTGCTTGGGGAGTGAATCAACGGATATAAGAAATTCTTATCTGTCTCTCCTCCTCTTTGTATATCTGACTTTCCAATAAAAATAAATAAATCTTCAAAAAAGCAAAAAAGGAATGACTTCTAGGCCCAGCATGGTAGCCTAGTGGCTAAAGTCCTCACCTTGCACTTGCCAGGATTCCATATGGGTGCCGGTTTTAATATGGGCTGCCCCACTTCGCTTCCCATCCAGGTCCCTGCTTGTGGCCTGGGAAAGCAGATGAGGATGACCCAAATTCACCTGCAAGGGAGACCTGGAAGAGACTCCTGGCTCCTGGCTTCAGATCGGCTCAGCTCTGGCCATTCTGGTCACTTGGGGAGTCAATCAACAGACAGGAGATCTTCCTCTCTCTCTCCTCTTCTCTGTATATCTGACTTTCCAATAGAAATAAAATAAATCTTGAAACAAAAAAAGGATGACTTGTTTTCTAAATTAATTTAAGCCTATTAATGGTCCATTTCAGAGAATAATACTCATCATAAACATTATTTCTATAAAGTAAATCTTACATCTTCTAGCTTTCCAAGTGAAATATGAGTCTGGGAGAAGTAGTTTGGGGGAAATAATGCCACAAGTCAAAACTGCTTTATCACTGTTGAAAAAGGCAGGCAGTGGGGCCCGGCGCGGTGGTGCAGTGGTTAAGGTCCTCGCCTTGCACGCCCGGGATCCCATATGGGCACCGGTTCTAATCCCAGCAGCCCCGCTTCCCTTCCAGCTCCCTGCCTGTGGCCCGGGAAAGCAGTCAAGGACGGCCCAAAGCTTTGGGACCCTGCACCCGCGTGGGAGACCCAGAAGAGGCTCCAGGCTTCGGATCGGCATAGTATCGGCCATTGCGCTCACTTGGGGAGTGAATCATCGGATGGAAGATCTTCCTCTCTGTCTCTCCTCTCTGTATATCCGCCTTTCCAATAAAAAAAATAATAAAAATAAATTAAAAAAAAAAAAAGGCAGGCAGTGAAGCGAGCCTCCGGCACGGGAAGAACCCTGGGTCCTGGTTCCTAAGGAGGGTGGGCACCTCTTGGCTTTCCTGGCTGTGCCAGAGCAGAGCTGCCCTGCTGCCAGCAGCCACTGCAAACCCAGGGCCATGAGTTCCCTGCTTCCTCCCTCAGGGGCCTGGCGTGTCCTGCTCCAACCCACCATTGCAATCTGAGAATCCGTGTACAACATGTAACCGAGGGGCAGTCAGCATCACGTGTGCCCAGTACCCTCATCAGCTTTCAATAGAATCTGAACACAATGACTTCCCTAGAAAAGACATATTCTGTGAAATGAGTGTATCCAGGCCATCTGAATATGGTTTTACTGTGGTCTTTGGAACAACATATGCATATACTGGTAGTTTCCTCTCTCCTTTAGTCGTTACCACCATCAGAAAACAAAATGGGTCACATTATTTCTAGTTACTTACATAAATGAAAAATAAGTAAAAACCAGGATCCAAAGACACAGACAAGCACATCAGGCTTCAATGAACAGCACATTCAGTCGGGTGTCCTACCTGAATATCCCCAGAGAAGCTGTTGTGCTAGAATATAATTAAAGG